ATACACGGGGGAGATAGCCGACATACTCAAAATACCCAAATCAATAAGGTTATTGGTGAAAATAAAAAAAAATGTGTCTTTTATTTTACAGAAAAAAACTAAAGGGACTTTTTGGCCACTCCAATACAAAGCTCTATGCAGGCCAACAAGAGGGGCTACTTTAGGAGGATTGCACAACCAGAGGGAGGAAGGTCAAGTTCAACACCCAACTGTCACTCACACAGAAAGAGGGAAGGACCAGAAGGAAGTTCTGGGACCAAAAAAATCCACCCCACCCCACCATGATTTTTAAGTAAAAAAAAAAATTATTAGACAACTTGAAAAAAGAGGATAGTCTGTTGAAATCCACATAATTAGTACACAGGGCAAAAGAGAACAGTTAAAAAGATGTAAATCGCACAAGGAGGGAGACCTGGGGGACGCACCACGGGGAGAAGGCGGGGAAATACACGGTAATGGGCAAGCGATAAAGATGGCGCGGCCGTAGCGAAAGCAGGCTCGCGGCTGCGGAGCAGAGGGACGGCCAGACCCCCCGGCGGGGTTATCTCTGAGAAGACGGGCATCTAGGCTTGTCCCCGCGCACCTCTGGGGTCCGAGGACAAAAAGGCCTCCAATGGCAGGTAACCTGAAAAGGACTGAGAACTAGCCCGACACTGGGCTCTGTCTAGCTCCCAGCACGGAGGCTCGAGGACCACAGGCCCAGGAAGGAGGTCCCCGAGCGCTGAGCTGCGTGGGCGTGTTCATAAACCCGTGAACCCCGCCGGCGGGAGGGGACGCATCTCTGCACCCAGCCAGGGTGCTCTCTCTCTCTCTCTCTCTCTCTCTCTCTCTCTCTCTCTCTCTCTCTCTCTCTCTCTCTCGGACTCACACCCTATCACCTGCATGTGTTTTGAAAACTTTTCTTTGGCCCCTAACGCTGAGATACTGAGAGTCGCTGCGGTTTTGTGATGCCCCCCAGACGACAGGCAGCGGTCAGACCCACGCGAGGAAGTACCCGGCGGGGAGGAATTCTGCACTGGCGGCAGGGCTTGCCCAGGCCGAGGGTCAGCCTGCCATCGGGAGGACGGCGGCCCCTGCGGGAAACGAGGGCAGAGCGGGCGCAGGGCCCGCCCATTTCCCTGTGCTCCAGCCTCGTGAGGACGGCGGCCCCTGCGGGAAACGAGGGCAGAGCGGGCGCAGGGCCCGCCCATTTCCCTGCACTCCAGCCTCGTGCAGCTCACGGCGGAGACGCTGCGGCGCGCCGCGCCCCGGGTGCGCTGTTTGCTCGCAGGATCTTGCAGGGCCGGCGTGTGTGCGTGGGTCAGGGCGAGGCCTCTGCAGCCCGGTTCCCTGCGGCTGGGTGCGCCTGAGCAGAACGTGATGATCGGTGCGTTCGGCGTTTTAGTATAAACCAATTTGCAAACAATTTTGAGGCTAAAGTATGTTGCGTGGGTCACCGGCCAGCAGTGACCACGGAACGCTGTGGATGGCTCGTCTAAAACACTCGAGAAAAAACACATGCACAGAGACAAACTAGTTTCTGTGGGGAAGTAGGGACGAAATGGCCACCCCCCCTAGTGGGGAGCGCGCCGATTTACCGTCCATACCTGCTTTTATTGGGCTCAATCTGCATAATAATTCAGGTAAAGTACAGTACTCATTAGGGGGAAGTAAGGAACCATAGAAAACAAGGAACTGCCAGTCTATTGACTCGGGGTCAAAGAGCTGTAAGACTGAGGAACAAAATAACTTCCTCCTAAGACCCTTCTCATTCAACTGAGAGCATTCTAAACAAAGAAGGTTTCACAGTAATTTACATGTTCTTTCTGAGGCCTGATCACCCCGGGGAATCCGCACTTCTCAGCACAGAGCTGCACCACCCTGTCATTGTTTCAGGCTTAGGTGGAGCAAGGGAACTAAGGCAACTGAGAGACGAGGAGGGTTTTTTCCCAGACGCTGAGAACTCAGGCTATGTCAAAGCCGAGGAGCGAGGGTCCATCACCCCCCTTTTGCTGCAGCCCCCCCCCCAAGTCCTTCTTTTGGGGGGCCTCCCAAAGTGATCGTGCCTGCCTTAGGTCGTCCCCCCACGTGGGGAATCTTACCCGTCTTTGGCTAACCGACCAAACTTTTGGGGGTTCAGTCATGAATAAAGCAGCAGAAGCAGCACTCCTGCCAGGAAGATAAGCTTTTGTCTCCTTGCTGGCTTACGGTTCCAAGGGCGTTCCCTTAGCCTTAGCCTAGGCGGGGGTTTCAGCTTCTGATACCAGTCAGGGCAGTTCCCAACAAAAGTATATACATCCTCAGGCCTGGTACGACCTACGCCTCTTCTGGGAACATGGGTGCTCGACTTTGACCTTTCCTCTACCTACCGAGAGGCAGGACGCGTAAGGACTTGGACTTGGAGGGCAGCCCCGGCCCGCCCGCCCGCAGTCTCCGGAGTCACCCCCAGGCTCTCTGTCCCTGGCACAGACTGGCTTGCGTCCTGCTCCTTAACCCTCCTCGTCCCTGCATCGCACTGTCGACCCAGGAGGCACCGTTCACTGTTACCTACTCTTGTTTTCATCAACTTCAAAAACCCCAGCATGCTTCCTTACTACAAAAAGAGCAAAACCAGCAACCACTGACTTAGCAGTACGGGCAGAACAGAGGTGGACCAGCAGGACACTGTGGGCAGTGTCAAAGAGTTGCACTTTTTTGAGGGAGTAGGTGCTGTTCATGTTTTGTGCCTATTTTTCGGTTCGGGTTTTGGTCTCCCTTCCTTTCCTGTTGAGTTGTTTATATATTAAATATATTAATTCTTAATCCGTGATATAGGTGGCAAATTTTTTTTTCCAGTATTTAAAAAATGTGTCTTTGGCCCTATGATGATTTTTTTTATTTGGTCAAACAAAATGTTATCATTTATAGGGAGTCAAATGTATCCATTTTTTTATTGCCTTTGAGTCATGTTTTAAAAAACCTTTTCTTGCCCCCAACCTAAGAAGTATTCACCCATGAGGTCCTAGTATGCTTGTCATTGCATTTTTTTTTTTTTTTTCACTAAATCTCGGCGCCATCTGGAGTTCATTCTTGTGTGTGGTGCGGTGGCACCCCCAGTCTGATCTCTTTCCAAATGGCCATCTGGGAGTCTGACCACCGTCGGTCACAAAGTCTATTTGACCCAGTGATTTCTGCGTGTACCTGGGATCTCTGGACTTTCTATTCCATTCTCCTGGTCATCTGTCTACTGAAGACACAAGTCTACCAAAATGTATTCTCGGTAGAGAACCCCAAACCCGCCTCCTCAAATTTAAACTCTGGCTACACTTATCTGGGTCCAAAGTGGAATAAAATGTTGAGTTAACTCACTCTAAGGTATCTGTCGAAAGAATTAGATAAGCAGTCAATTAGAGGCATGAGAATGAGAAATCTGGGTGCAGCTGACATGACAGGAGGCGACAGAATCCATTACATATTATTAATGTAGCAAGAAAGGAGGATGTAAAATTCACACACAGAAATCTGTAGCTTTCGTAGACAATATAGAGAAAACCCATCGACAACAGCAACAAAGAAGATACAGTACTTAGCAGGAAATGTACCAAACCTGTTGTAAGTCTACATGAAGGAAACATTAAAACACTCCCGGTAGCCCTGGCGTAGCTCAGTGGATTGAGCGCAGGCTGTGAACCAAAGTGTCACAGGTTTGATTCCCAGTCAGGGTACATGCCTGGGTTGCAGGCCATGACCCCCAGCAACCGCACATTGATGTTTCTCTATCTCCCTCCCTTCCCTCTTTAAAAATAAATAAATAAAATCTTAAAAAAAACAAACAAACCACTCCCGAAAGGCACAAAAGTGGGTTTGGATAAATGTGCAGTTCTTGGAAAAGATGACTCAATGTAATCAATTTGTGAGTTCGCCCCAAGTTCATTTATACAATGCAATTTGAATAGAAATACCAAAAAACATTCTTCCAGGTCGTAAATGGATGCTAAAATTCACATGGCAGAATAAATCCGTTAAAGGGGCTCCGGGAAACAGAAAAAAAAAAAAAGCTGGGCACTGAAGAGACTGGGGCGCCGAGATGCCGCCATCTGCCGCCCCGAGCTGGTACTGCATCCTCTGAGCAAAGCAAATCCGCTCCTATTGGTGTTGATTAGCTTTTGGACCCTGAGCGTGGTCTAAAACGAAGCTTGCTGCTGCTACTGCGGCTTTTTTGTTTGCCTTCCACGCCCTCACCAAAGGCCTGTATTCTGTGTAGCATCTTTAGAGCTCTGGGCTGCAGAATCCAAATCCTGGGGACAGAGCTCAAAGAAGATGGGCGGAAAGATCTGTGGTTTAGATCCTTATCAGGGGTTTGATTGATGGAAGACTATGAAAGAGGAAGGAAAACTAGTTCCTTGTTGCATCAGCCGTTTTACGCACAGGAATTTTTTTTTTTTTAAATCCTTGTGAAATGGACACCCCGAAAGTCGCGTTACAGACTAGAAAACAGTAGCCTGGGCAAATGTACAGGGATGTTTTTTAAAGGGTACAACTGTGACGCTCGTACAGCTATAAAACGAATACGCGTCAAAGATTTCATTTCGCTCACGAATGAGTGAAGGAACTAGTAAGATGTCAAAACTGGCTCGCGGGAGAACCCGGAGTTACAGACACACATGCGCGAGGGACGGTCGGGGACGCTGACGGGCGATCACTCCGCGATGCAGAACCGGTCACCGGCCCCAGCGGAATCAGCACTACGTCTTCATTGCGCAAAATTCGTTTGCATCTCTGTGCACCAGAATGTTTATTACTATCAGTTTCCTACCACCCAGAGAGCTGTCACACAGCTCAAAGACAAGGAGCGGTGCGGGCCCTTCTAGAACCGGGTAACCCCCTGGGCTAGGCCAGCGATGTTCACCCTTCCTCGTCCCCCGGCATCCAGAAACCAATGACTAAAATTCTGCGGCACACCAGAAGATATGTTACATTTTTTTTGTCAATCTGACAAATAAAACATAGGTCATCATCTTGATTCATTCACACCAGACAGATGTTGTTGTATTGGCTCTTGCCATTAAAAAATTTTTTTTAAATTTATTTTTAGAGAGAGGGGAAGGGAGGGAGAAAGAGAGGGAGAGAAGCATCTGCGTGTAAGAGACACTGATAGATTGCCTCTCATACCTGCCCCAACCCGGGACATGGCCTACAAACTCCGGCAGGTGCCCTGAATGGGAATCGAACTGGCGACCTTTCGCTTTGCAGCATGACACTCAACCAACAGAGCTGCACCTGTCAGGGCCACTCTTGTCATGTTTCAAATCTGACAGTCTAAGGGAAAAGAGGTCTGTGGCCCTGACTAAACAGTCAGGCATTGCACATTTTCAAAATCCTCGCGGCGCCCCCCGTGCACCTGCCGCGGCGCCTCGGTTGAAAATCACTGCTCCAGTCGGTGTAGAGTGACATTAAGTAACCCCCTTCCAGGTTTCACAGCTGCTAAGTATAAGATCTGGAATGCAAACCCAGATCCCTATCTCCCTGAGTTCTGGCTCTTTCCTCCGTGCCCAGTAGCTTTCGGATGGTGACGGGCGATGTTCAGCAGAGATGCGTACTGGCCACTCATCACTGCATTTAGTGAACATGTTTTGGTCTCAAGAAAGAAGCCCTTCTTCCCCATCCTGGGAACAGAACCTTCAGCCACGTTCCCAGGTCTCCAAAGCCTCTGCCACCTGGCACCCCTGGACACACGTCCCCTCAGTGGCCTGGAGGGGCTGGGAGCCTGGTCCCAGCCTCGGAAAGGCCCTGGTCAGGTCTTCGGCGGGAAGGTACGGGACGCTGGAACAGTCTGATGATGCCTTCGTCGTGCAGCCGCTTCCAGAGTGTTCTCTCTAAGGCGAAATCATGGTTGGTGTAGAAGACTGTCTTTTTCCACGTTGTGTCGTAGTAGTGGTCTGAGAAGCGCTCGTGGCCCTCGGTGATGAAGCCATAGGCACTCACCTGCGGAAAGGCAGGAGGAGACATGGGGCTCGCCCTGGCCCCTCCGCCCCCCTCCCCAGTCCCGGCTGCCTCTCCGAGGCTGATTGTGTGTGTTGGGCGCGGGTGCTCTTTCTGGGTTCCGTCCCTCGAGGTCTGGGTGCGGGCCCCCGGGTGCACCCGCAGCCACGCCCGCCGCACCCCACGGGGATGTGCAGCCAGCCCAGCTGCCGCCCCGCGCTGAACAGGCCAGGAGCCCGCAGAGCGGTTTCCCGGGGTCCTCCTGCCCCCGCGGCTCAGCCTCACCTGGTCGCAGAGCTGGAGGGCGGTGAGCAGCAGGAGGGCCCCCGTAGTGGGGCGGTATATCCTCCAGTGGACAGTGTCCAGCGTCTTAGACCTCAGAAACCTGTAAAACGCCCCCCGAACTGTCAGCAGGCGGCCAGGGCGAGAGGGTCCCGGCCCCTCCGTGCCTCTGCCCCCACCTGTTCTTCATGTAGCGGATGGCGTCTGGGTGCAACAGCAGGTACCTGTCCAGCTGCACCGTGTCCTTGAAAGCTTCCTGGGGCCTTTTCCTGTGGGCGGGCCGCTGGTTCAGGCCCAGTCCCCCACCTCATCCGGCGGGGGAGCTGTCCCGCCCTTCCCAGCCGCTGGCTACACAGCCCAGCCTGAGCGGGGTGGGGGTGCGGGGGAGGCCCAGCCAGTACCTGTACCAGAAAAGGCTCCTTTTCTCAAGGGTCTGGTTCAGAAGCAGAGCTTCCAGCCAGTCGAAGTCCCGGCTGCCTTCCAGGAAGTGCAGGTAGCGGATGTCCTGGGGACCAAGGACAGCGAGTGGCCCGGGGGCCCTGCCTGCGGTCCGCCCTGCTGTTGCCCGCCCCCCCACCCCTACCCTGTATGAGCTTGCACCAGCTGTGCGCTCGCTTCCCCAGAGCCTGTGGGGCCAGGCCCACTCCTCCCCGCTCACCTTCCCCACGGGCACGTGCGGGAGACCCCGACGGCCCAGGATGTACAGTGACTGAGTCAGGGAGAAGGCAGTGAAGCCGTAGAAAGATGTCCGAGTACCCACATCCTGCTCGTAGCCCTCGGTAACAGCTCCGCTCAGTCTGTGCAGAAAGACCCTGGTCAGACCGGACGCGTGAGCACCGGAGGGAGCGGCGAGGAGGCGGGTGGCGAGGAGAAGGAGAGACGGGGAGGCCGCTGTCACACGCGGGGATTCTCGGGGAGCCCAGGAATTCCCCCTCCCAGGTGCAGGCATGGGACGCCCCATCAGCGCTCAGGAGAGCCTGTCTCTGCAGGAAAGGCTGGGGACGGGGGCTGGGGCGGGGCAAGGGACAGCTCACCGGAACACGTAGTCGTGGCTGTCTATCTCTTGGCCCACGCGGGAGTTGTTCAGGATGCCCCCGTTACCCACCACGGCGCAGGTGGCGCACTGGGTGCTCCCGGCGGGGAGGCGGGCCAGCAGCAGCTGCTGCTGGGCCACTGGAGGGAAGCGTGTCACCACCTTCTGCACCACTGGAACAAGGGCGACCCTCCGTTCAGAGCCCGGGGACGGCCAGGGACCCCGGTGCATCATTTCTCCCAGAGCTGGCGGCCCCCCAGGGAAGAGGCAGACCCAAGACCCAGAGCCACTGCCGAGTGCACAGCCAGGTTCCTGGGGGCGGGACTCACAGGAGTAATTGAGCTCCATGAAGCCAAAGGGGGGTGCGAAGTGCTCCAGGCGGTCCCACTCGCTCTGGTTGAAGCGTCTGGAGTCCAGGAAGAGGGTGAGGTTGGGCAGAAAGAGCTTCTGGAACCAGCGTGACTTGGAAGCTCTCACTTTCACAGAGTCGGGGCAGGTCTAAATGCAGGAGGGCGGGGCAGGCAGGGCGAGGTTGGGGGGGCCCTGGTGGGGGTGGGGCAGGGTGGGGGCTGGGCTGGGCAGTGCGGGTGGACAGAACGCTGGCCTGGGAGGTCGGAAGGCACCGCCCCCGCTGCCTTGGCCACCCCTTTGGCAGGCCCGCCGTGGTCCGGAGACTACCCTCGGCCCTCAAGGTGAGCACACCCTTGTCAGTGCGAGAGGAATGCAACGGCCTGGGGCGGGTGTGTGTTCCCGCATGCTGTCGTGTGCGTGGCTGCAACCGTGTGTCATCAGATACATGTTCAGTGTCACCCCCCCATGGGTGTTTTTCTCAGGGACGGACGAGAGGGGAGGTGGGGGAATGACCTATGCGGAGGACCAGGTGTTCCCAGGCGGTGCTAGCGCCGAGCACCAGGCTGGGTGTTCTTGTCTGATAGTCTCTGCCCCCCTTGCCCCCTGCCCTCCCGGAGGTGGGGAGCAGGTGTTGAACCCCAGAACGGGCTGCACCCTGTCACCCTGAGGGATGACCCTCCGGGCCTCCCTGCAGCTCTTTGTCACTCACAGCTTCCCATGCTGCCTGGGCGGGGGTTCGGGTTCTGGGGTGGGTGGTGGGGGGGCCTGCCTCCTCCTCCTCCCTCGTTTTGGCCATTGTGGGAAGGGAGGATGGGGAGGAGCCTGGGGGGTGAGGAAGAGGGTGGGGGCGGGCTGTATACTCCAGGAGGGGCGTTGGCGCCAGGCGGCTTAGGGCCGGGGGGGGGGGGGGGTGCGGCCCTGGAAAACTCACCGTCTGTAGGCCCCCCACGTCGATGCTGTAGTTTTCCTCGAACTCCCACTTGGGCTCAGACTTGAAGCTGGCGGCCTGCAGCCTCGGGGCCTTCTGTGTAGTGGGGCCCCTCCGTGTGGTCGGGCCCCTCTGTGTAGTGGGGCCCCTCCGTGTGGCGAGGCGCTGGGAGGGCGCAGAGCTCGGGGCAGACTGGGCTGGCCGCCTGGGTGGGACCGTGGCCGTGGCCCCCCCTTGCGTCTTCCTCAGGGGCGGCCCTGCTGCCCTGGTGGTGAGCGCCTCAGCCCCCCATTCCGGACCAGGTGCCCGAGGCTCCGTGGGCGCTGTCCTCGCGGCCGTCGGCCCTCCGTCCTCGCCCCTCCGTCCTTCGGGGGTCCTCCTGTCCGGCGTCGTCTGCGATGGGGCCTCAGTCCCATTGGAGGCCCTCGCCCTGTCCTGACTTCTCCGGGACAGCACGTCCACCGTGGTGTCCTTTCTCTCCTGACTCTTGACCGACGCGGTCCTCGCCGTGCCGGGCGCTCTGGCGTCCGTGTGGCCCGTGGCCTGGGGGCGCTGCTGCGGTGTGCTGCTCCCCTGCGCGGACCCTCCACGGGCGGGGGTCTTCCTCTCCACGGTGGGTGCTGGGGGCGTGGCCGTCTGGAGCCACTCCAAAGACCTTTCTCTAATGCCCTCTCTATCCTGAGGCCTGCGGACAGAGATGACTTTGGATGAAGGGTGGGGATTACAGAAGCGGGTCAGAACGTGACGAGTGCCCTGGCTGGCGTAGCTCAGTGGATTGAGCGCGGGCTGCGAACCAAAGCGTCGCAGGTTCGATTCCCAGTCAGGGCACGTGCCTGGGTTGCGGGCCAGGTCCCCAGTGGGGGCCATATCAGAGGCAACCACACATTGATGTTTCTATCTCTTTCTCCCTCCCTTCCCCTCTTTAAAAATAAATAAATGAAATCTTAAAAAAAATGGGACAACTAGCATAATCAATAAAATATATTAAAAAAAAAAAAAGAACGTGACTAGTGGTTGCCCTCGGGCCGAGGGTAGACCTCAAACCAGGTCTCTGCACCAGCTCCTCCCAGGCTCCCCGCGAGCACCGGGTCCCGGACTGTGAATTCTAGAACGAGTTCGTGTGGCCCTGGTCCTGTCACCTCATCGCTGCCTGACTCAGCCGACCTTTTCACCTTTCACCTGAAGTGCAGGGAGCACAGGGAACCCTGTCCGAAGAGAACGGGAAACATGCATCTACGCTGAGACTGGAGCTGCCAGCCCTGACCTTGAAATCAAGGTCTCTCCGAGGACGACCTGCCGTGCAGATTCACTCCCGGTGCCTTGCGCAGACCAGCGGCCTCTGGCTGGCACGGTCCGGAAGCACGTGCGCGCTCAGGCCGTGCTGCTGGTCCGGAGCCCCCTGCGTCTGCCGCCCGCCGCGTCAGCTGCCGGAGGTGGGAAAAGGCGTGTTTCCCAGCCACCAGCAGGAGGCACTGCGGTGCGGGGCCGGCCGTGTGTGTCCTCAGGATGCAAAGCACGTGTTGTACCCTGACCGGTGTGGCTCACTGGGCTGGGCGTCAGCCCACCGAGCAAGCGCTCGCAGGTTCAGTTCCCAGTCAGGGCGCATGCCCCGGCTGCGGGTCTGGGCCCCCGTCGGGGGGGGGGTCCTGCGTGCGAGAGGCAACTGGTTGATGTTTCTCTTTTGCGTCGATGTTTCCCTCCCTCTCTTTCTCCCTCCCTTTTCCCCTTCTCTAAAATAAATAAATAAAATCTTAAAAAAACCAAACCAAAACTGGGCGCACATGTCAGCTCAGTGGGTGTGAAGGAGGGGTTCTGCCTGAGCACCAGGGAAACAAGGAAGGCTTCCCGGAGGAGGTCCCCTCTGCAGAGGGTTAGGAGAGGGCGGGAGGAAGCTTCAGTCCCAGAAACGTGAGAATTCACCGTGTGCCCGAGCTGCTGAGTATTGATGAAGCGAGTGGGGCTGGGGCGGGACTTGGTCCCAAGCGGGCAGGTGGGCCGGGTCGTCAATAGCATTCTGTGCCGGAGGGAAGACTTTACTCTGGATCATCCAGGAGGAGCTGCAGAAGGATTTCCCTTGGGAGGTTGGGGTGGGGGGAGGGGCTGAAGGGACGAGCGGGGGTGAGCGGGGGCGGGGGGGAGGTGCGGCACACAGGGACGTGCATTCTGGAATGCTTTCTCTAGCCCCCGTGGAAGACGGATTTGCCGTGGCTGGTCTGGCTCCCGGCACTCAGGGTTTGGGACGCCGGGGACTGGATTTACTGTATCTTCTGCTTTATTGTGAGGCTGTCAAAGGTGTCAGTTTATGCAAGTTTGTGTCGGGCGTTCTGCGGAGGAGAGAGAGCACGGGGCCTCTGCTCCCCACGGTCCTTTAACGGGACTTCGTGTGTGGGGTCCCTGTGCTACGCAGGTTTCGGGGGGACTCCGGGAGCTTTGGATAAAACAGTCTTCCTCTCTCGTGACCTCACCACGATGCAGATGGATTTCCAGGTGCTCTTAACTCTTACCTGGTGTCCGGGGCCCCCTCCCTCGGCTTGGTCTCTCTCGTCCCAAGCTCCCTTCGACTGTTTCCACTGTTTGCGTCCTAGGCCACGTGTAACAGACTTACTGAGGTTGCGCGGAGGGAGAGAGCGTGCGGTGTGCGGGCAGGTGGGCCGAGGGAGCACCCCCGCCCCTCCGCGTGTTAGCTGGCGTGACCGGGAGAGACCTTCCTGGCCTGCCCGGCCCTGGGTTTTTTTTTTTTTAAGATTTTATTCATTTATTTTTAGAGAGGGAAGGGAGGGAGAAAGACAGAGAGAGAGAGAAACATCAATGTGCGGTTGCTGGGGGCCGTGGCCTGCAACCCAGGCATGTGCCCTGACTGGGAATCGAACCTGCGATGCTTTGGTTCACAGCCCGCGCTCAATCCACTGAGCTACGCCAGCCAGGGCCCTGGGGTTTTTATTATGCGTACAGTGTGCTGCGGCCTTTTGCTTCTCAGAGAAGTCTGCTGGGAGCATTAACGGGGAGCAGGTGCCACGCACCTGGCACAAAATACAGACTCAACCAAATGACTGCCCTCCCCTCTCTCCCTGCCCCCCCAGAGGCACCCTGTTTCCTGTCGCCCCTGACTCTTCCCGTGCAAGCCGCAGACCTGTTCGGCCTGGTCTCCACCCCCTCTACCACTGCCCGACTCAGTGGGGAAGAACTCATTCTTCTGTGCAGCCGACATTCACTGAGCGCCTCCTGTGTGCGCCGGACTGGTCAGGGCGGGCACGCCCCTCCCTGCGTGGGGCCCCCCACACGAAGGGGCTGACGAGCCATCACCTAAGGAAACGTCAGGTTGTCCCTAGGAGCTGAGCAGGAAGAGCAGGAAATGGGCGCGCAGGACCAGGCCACGGGAGGGAGCCTGCCCCGGGCTCCAGCCCCCGGGCGGGTGTGGACGCTGAGACTCCTCCACCAGCCATCGAGCCCGCCCTGTGCTGGGGTGCTACCTGCTCAGCGGCAATGTCATCTCTTTCTTAAATCACAGACCCTGAGGAGGCAGCCCTAGCCCAGCGCCACGTTGTATCAGTGATGGATCTGTGTACTTATTGTAAGATGTCCTGTGCCCCGAACGGGAAACCAGTGACTTTCCGCTTTGCGGGACGATGCCCAAGCCGCTGAGCCACACTGGCCAGGCCCCGGGACCTGGAGGGAACTGGAAGGTTAACTGCCTCCAAGCCTTTGTTCTTTTTTTTTTTTGGTTTCTTTACTTTGGACTAAGTTAAAAAAATTAAAAGGAAGTTTATTATAAGGCCGGAAAGTGTCTTGAGGAACCCAAGGGCAAGAGGTGGTCGGTCAGGCCTCTCCCAGGGCCCAGAACCAGGGGGACCCTGGGACTCGCTCTCTGCCCGGTCTCTGCCTCCTGCTCTCCCTCCCTCTGCTCTCAGCCTGCCCGGTGGTGGGGGAGGGCCGGCCCATAATGCCTGTTCTGGGGACTGTTGACTCTCTCTGCTCCCGGTTTTTAATTTTGTGGGGAGAGTTTCGAACCCAGTTGGGTCCTCTCTCCACCCCTGGCCAGGGGTCTGGGCAACATGGCACGTGGTGACATTCCTGGGGTCCACCCTGAGCGTAGCAGGAGGACAGTCTCAAGAGAAACCGGGGGGGTTATTGGCTCAAGAACTGTAAGACACCCCCGGAGTATTCATTCTGAAAGAATGCCACCCGGTGCATCCTGGGAAGCGGGAGTTAGTGCAGAGCATTTGTGATCGGCTTTTGCTTCCTCTAAAGAGCTGAGCGCCGTGAGCCTGGGCATGGGACTCGCTCAACTGCCCTTTCAGCTGATAATTGAGCTGAGCTCCAAAGGCAACACAAAAGCCTGGGTGTGACCTCCACTTAGCACCTGCTGGTTACCGGGCTGGGACTCTGGACAGGTCCAGCTGCACCTCCCCCTCCCCCTCCCATCCCCAAACCTCGGGAGTCCACAGGAGTCTTCCTTTCCAGCTACAAGCCCCTGACGTGGCTGTGAGGGGGGAGACAATGAGGAGGGGTGGTCTGTTACATTCCACATGTCGCACAGGCAGCACGGAAGGCTGGCCACCTGCCCGGACGAGACACCTCTCCGCAGCCCCGTGTCGGGGCAGGAGGACAGCGACCCCCGGCAGGTGGGTTCAGCCTGCAGATGCTTCACGTTCTTGAAGACTGCTTTGCCTCTTACAGAAAGTCTCAGCAATGACCCGGGTAGTGACCGAATTGTGTCATGACATTTCACGTCAATTTCCTATAATTAAATGCACCTGTGATTGCTAGGGATGTGGCAGTTTACCTAGGCATTACCTATTCTCCGGTGTGGTATTTACTGAATATTCTAACTGCTTCCGTCCCCATGTTGAGTGCCCTGCACCTGCTTGGCCAGAACTTACACGCCATGGGCTGGGTGAGGGTGGGGCGGGGAGGCGGGGAGGCGGGCACCTTTTTTCTGTTAAGAGTCCCTAGTTCAGAGGGATAGGCAAATCAGTCACAGATCACATCCAGACCAAAAGCAATTTAATTTCGCCATCTATTTGGGAAGTAAAAAATGTAAAATGTTACACTTTGAAAAATAAATATGTCAGCCCTGCCTAAGTCCCCGCAACGGCTGGCTCCAAACCAGCGGGGGTCGAGTCGGTGGAAGAAACTGCCGGAGCCCTGAGCAGTTCCGTTTTAACAGCCCACAGTCAGGCTCGCCTACCCAGACTCACCCCCCCTGAGCGCCAGCACCGGGGGGCAGCTTGAAGGGCACCAGCGGCACACTGGCAGGGGCTGAGGTGTCTGGCATCAAGGTGGGCAGAGGCCATTGTCCTTTTCTGAGCCCTCCCCTCTGCAAAGCCACGGAGCCGGCAGGCCAGTGCCATGGCTGAGACTCCATCAACCCGGCTGACACGGTCTGACCTGCCTTGAAGATCCCCAGAGACTCTGCCCCACCCAGATTCCGGGCCCACCCAAGCTACTTTTCCATGGGAATGACTGGTCTTGGCTCAGGCTTCACAGCTTCCGAAATCCTATGAAACAAGCAGCAGCTGGCTTCAGGGAGCCCCAGGCCCGGCACCAGCAGCAGCCGCCAGCCCAGATTCACAGCGTGGCTTCACCTGGGAATCTCCGAGCCCAGCACAAGCAGCAGCCATCTCAGATGGCTTTATAGCTCAGGAAGGACAGCCCTGGGCAAAACACAGGTGCAGGCTGACCTTGGCCTGCTCCACCCAGGAACCCCCAGGGCCAGCGCACCCAGTGGACAGCTGCATTCCACTTTGGAACACTGCCACCTGGCCCCCTGCACAGCTGACCCTCCGCAGAGGGTGGAGGCTGGTGGTCAGTGGTCACGGCCAGTCCCTGCAGCTGATTGGCTTGGGTAAATCCCTCCCACTGATCTGCCAACAGCAACTGAGGCTCAACTACAAGAGGAGGGTGCACTCAGCCCACACAAAGGGCACACCGTGAATACCCAGAGTTGGGTGACAGGGGAGGCAGTGCCACTGGACCCTACAGGACACCTGCTACCTTAGGCCACACCACTAAGACACGGAGTCAGAGCAGCTCTCCCTGACACACAGAAACAAACACAGGGAGGCTGCCGAATGAGGAGACAAAGAAACATGGCCAACGTGAAAGAACAGACCAAAACTCCAGAAAAAGAGGAAAGTGAAATGAAGATAAACCACCTATCAGATGCAGAATTCAAAACCCTGGTTATAAGGGTGCTCAAGAAACTTAGTGAGGACCTCAGCAGCATAAAAAAGATCCAGTCAAAATGAAAGACACACTGATGGAAATAAAGAACAATTTACAGGAAACAACCGTAGAGTGGATGAAACCGAGAATCACATCAGTGATTTGGAACGTAAGGAAGCAAACAACAACCAATCCACTAATAAAGACATTAGGAGACAATACAGAGGATACTTCGTATGACTGTGGGCTGGGACAGAGTTTCCTAAGAACGGTACCAAGTCCAGTGGCCATAAGGGAAAGATAGACAAATTTTATGTGTATGCAAATCACTCGTGTATGACATAAGATAAATGATGCAACAAAACAGCGCCCCCCCGACACCCCAAATATCAGGCTGGAGAGGACATTCGAAGTACTGTTACAGATAGAACAGGACAGGGTGGATATTCCTCATACACAAAAAAGCTCCTATGGATCAGAAAAATAAATCATTCAATTTTTTTAAAAAGCAGAAGACATGAACAGGTCATTCATCACAAAATACAAATGATTACTAGACCTAAGAGGGTCCTCCAGTTCCCCAGAAGCCTGAGAAACGCAAACAAAGGAGAGAAATCCCCTTTCACGTATCAGAGGGTTCCCTGTCACCATCGATGACAGCCAGCGTTGCCACAGAGGACAGAGCGTTCATTCTCACGCTGGTTGCCGGAGGCTTTTCATGGGGGGATCTGATGGTGTCACGGACGTGTAAGGTGAACACGGCCATTGTGTTGGCAGTTCCCCTTCTAGAAACCCACCTAGAGGAATGCTTAGGTGAGTACACAGAGGCCTGTGAAAAATGAGTGGCCACCCCAGTGTCAGTGGATAGGAACTAGTTAAACAGATTGTATCCGGTCGACGGAATACTACACATCCCCGAGAAAGAAGCGAGCAGAGCCACGCATACCGGGGGAAGGGTATCCACGACACAGTGTCGATGTAAGGAGCTGACCTGTGGAACCAGGTGCGTCTGTCTGTCACCCACCTCCCTCCCTGTCGACCCATTGGTTCCATTCACCCACCTGTGGTCAGGGTGTACGCAGCGTAAAGGAAAGGGCATGGGCTATGGAACCAAAATGCTGGGTCTGAGCCCCGGCCCTGCAGCTTACTGGCAGGGCAACCTGGGTGTGGGTGGCTCAGGGATGCTCGGTGTTTCGGGGCACACCTAATCGTCAGAATTAGTGAGTGAGTGCACAGGAAGCATTTACAGTCGTGCCTGGCACCTAGTGGATGCTATAATCCCATAATAACGATGCACACACCCAGATATGAAGAGCACTCACCCCAGAGGAGTGGGTGGAGACCTGGGGTACGTAATGGAGAGACCCCCCTCTTCCTGCTTCACCTTTCTGTATTTGTTTAAACTTCACAAGAGCACGTATTACTTTCAAATTGTAAGAATTGTGAAACACAGTTGTTTAAAAATTGAGTCTAGAGCCCTGGCTGGTGTGGCTCAGTGGACTGACGGCAGGCCTCCAAACCAAAGCATCACCAGTTGGATTCCCAGTTCAGGGCACTTGCCTGGGTTTGCGGGCCAGGTCCCCCAGCAGGGGGTGCACAAGAGTAACCACACACTGAGGTTTCTCTCCCTTTCTCTCTCCTTCCCTTGCCCTTTCTCTAAAAATAAATAAATACAATCTTTAAAAAAATTGAGTCTAGAAAGAACAGGGTCCCTCGCTGCTGGAGATGTGTTTCTTCTATAAGAAACCTGGTCTAGAAGGTCCTTTCAGAGGATGAACTGGGGGCCCGGAATCTGAGCGGCAGCCAGAAGTGGCGGACTTCTGAAGGAGAGCGTGATCTGAAATGAGCAGAGCGCACGGGATCACTTTCGCCCCAGGACACGGGGACTGGCAGGTAAGAATGAACCCCAGAGCCGCTCAGCGCACTCACGGTCCCAGAGGGGAGAACAGTCTTGTTTGGAACCTCTGCCTTCTGGACACAGCTCAGCAGTTTCCTCTGTTTGCCTTTCCCCTGCAGACAAGCCCCGTGGCCCCGGGGGCTTTGGCCTCCCGCCCCCACCACCTCCGCGTTCCCCAGGCTTCCCCTCGGATGGTTCTTGGCGGTGGTCCTTGCTCCCCGACGCCTGTGTGGACACAGCGGTGCCGCAGAGTTCCCCGGGTCTCCCCACAGAGTGTCCCTGTCCTCTAATAAGTGAGGGTGAGCTGGGGAAGGGGCCGGGGTCTTACCTGGTGAGCTTCGAGTTAGGTTCCTTGACGAAGGTGGGCAGGGTGAACAGGAAGAAAATCAGCACGACTGCCGTCAAGAGCCAGACGGCTTGGCGCAGGTGCCCGAGCCTCCACAGGCAGGACCTCATGGCGGCGGGTCGGGCCCTCGGGGAGCTGCAGCAGGTCCTGCCGCTTGGACATGGGACAGCAGCGAGACGGACCGCTAGGATATCCTGGGTGGGGAGCGCACACGCCCTTTGTCCTCGTAGGAGCCACTCGGGTAAACACGGAGCCTTTACACCTTTGCCAGGGAGGGGAGGGGCCACTCGGGCTGCTTTATGGAGGCTTATAGGCTGGCGTGACCGAGGGGAAACTCCTTTGGTTCAAACAGGTTCCCGTTCCTTTTCTGTGTCTCTGAAGCCAATTTCTGGATGAGAAACAGACACGCATGAGACGGAAGCTCACGTTCATCGGGTCCCCGATCCTGGGGGACCCTGGGCAAGGGCTCGGGCTGGCGGGGTTGGGCACCACCTCCACACCCAATGTGAGCCTCAGGGGAAAGAGAGGGGACCCTTTAAGGACGAGACCCCCTCGTGGTCGCTCCCCTGAGAGACCATCCCTAGCGTGTCGGGGAACAGCTGTCAATCTCGGGTTCACAGCAGAGTCACCCGGGAGCCTTGGAGACGTCCTGACGCCCAGGCTGCACCCTGACCCATGAAACCAGAACCTCGGGGACAGGCGTTTTCCGGGTGTGGGTGTTTTTCAGTTCCCAGCTGACCTAGTTGCGTGACCTGGTTGAGAACCACTGATTTATCGGTGCTGGAGGATTGTCAGACTCGTCGCTATAAATTAGCAAAGTTTGCTCTGCAGGGCGCTTGTGGAAACCCGAAGGCATGCCTCGTGAATTTTGCACAGTTGGGTGATGTGCCTCCTTCTTCCTGTAACCTTGGACAGGTTCCTTACATGTCTGGCCTCACCTACAAATGGGAAAAGGGAGGCATCTACCTCGTGGGATTATGACGCAGGTGCTATGGAAGGGCCATTGTCACCTGCAGCCAGGAGCATGACCTGGACCCGCACACCCGCGGCGGGTGCGCCCGGAGCCAGGCACCATGGCACCCACGCAGACCCCCGGCCTCTCCGGAGGTGGGGCACTGTCAGCAACCCCATTTCACAGTCAAGGGGATTGCCTCTGGGGATGAGCAGCTCAGCCAAGGTCTCGGAGTCAGCCTCCGGCTTGGGGACCAGATCCCGCTGACCCGGAGGCTCAGCCTTACCTGAAGCACCGTGCGCCTCTGAGAAACCGTGCGCTCTGCCGTGATAGGGAAAGCAAAATACCTAACCCTTGGGGCAAAGGGACAACTCAGAGAAACGACGTCAAGATCAGGTGTAGAAAACGGCGCATTCGGAGAAGCAGCAGGTTACCCGGTTTAAAACTATTGCTCACAGCGCGTCACTGGGGCACTGGAAAGCAGGTGTTTTCCGGGAGCGGAGGTGGCGCAGGTGCGGCCTGGGAGAGTGGGGCTCGGAAGGTTTGGGGGGCCGGGCCCGCCACGCACATGGGACCTCGTCCGTTCCTCTGAACGCAGCTTTCGATGCTGGACCCGCAGTCCTTGGCCTCGCCGGTGGATGCACCAAGAAATGCTTACACGACCTTCCCCAAGGGGCATGAAAAGGTCGGAACGTGCTTCTGAGTGGCTGAGAGGCACCCAGAGCACCGACCAATGGGCGTCCTTTTCCCCACACCGTTTGCCGTCCCTCGTGGCACCTTTTGGGAGGGTGGGGACAGACAGACTGCCTCTCCTCGGGCCGACTCAGCCTCAGCCTCTCTGGACACACCTGACCGCACCTGACCGCACCTGACCACACCTGACCTGACACGCAGGCTCTACAAGCACTTTCCCAGCACACCTGAGTCAAGTCCTCGCTCTGCCGTAACTGACCCTCTTCCCCGGGTCGGCCTGCCCACTTGGCCCGAGCCACTACCCTCTGCCCTGGTGCCCGGGAGCAAAGCCAGGCCGACCAGGTGCGCAGTGGGAAGGCGTTTTCTTACCTACAGCGTTGGTTCCGACTACACCCAGCGCCTCTCCCGCTCACCGGGGTCTGAAGAAGACACAGGCGCTCAGTGTTCTGACCTCCGCCGAGCCTGGAGGGCTGCTGACCTCCGGGGCGGGGGCTGAACAACCGTGCACAGCCTGTGCTTCTGCCCCCTCGGGGGAACGTTGAACTTGGGTGTTCAGGAAGACATATGGGGGAGGTAGGATTACCCGAGTTCTAGCTTCCTGGTCCTCAGGGTCCAGCCCGAGGCTGCCGCCCCGTGTGGCCGAGCAGGAGGGGAAATACGGAGAAACACAGGTTTTCGTGGAAGCTGACGTTCCGATAGTTTTCTGAACGTCGTCACCGTTTGCATGTTTGACGAGGTCTACTTTCCTTTCTAAGCTAATGCTTCTGACTCGAGTGTTTTTCTCTTTTCTTTTTTGAATGCACCAGCCAACAAGAGGTGCGACAGCTTAAATGCAGAGACACGCCCTGAGAGGGTGTTTGGGGGAAGGTCAGACCTTGACCTTGACGCAGGCGAGAAACAGGAAAACGTGTTACAGATTGTGTTCTACTCCTGGCAGAACCAGGCGGGTGTAATAGCCGATTTAAAAGAGAAGTGCGGTGGCGCCCATGAAGAGAGAGGAAGGATTATTAAACTGCGTTGCAAGTTGGGGCAAAGCTGGATTTCCAGGGAGGGGAGGGAGTTTGCAGGGCCCTGGGCTACACACGAGTTTGCGGAGCGGTGAAACAGCCAGGAGAGGAAGGGAGGGTGAAATCGGCTCGCCTGGAGGGCTGCTCTGCCATCCCGCTGCCTGTGCGGAGCAGGCCTGGGTGCAGCCTGGCGCGAGTGGGCACCTTCCAGACCCTCAGGGATCAGTGCGACCCTGGGATGGGACTCTCTCTGAAGGTCCCTTTCCCTGCTCTCTTTGTGACATGTAGGGCTGTCCTGCAGTGTTGCTTGTTTCTACTGGTGTCATGCCCAAAATGTGCTGGTCCCTGAAGTGCCCCCAACATCCACAACACCCGGACACTGCTGTTCCTTCTGCCTCTGAAGACACGGGGCACGCGGCGAAGAAGCCTTGCTCTGAGGCCCGAACAGTGTTATTCACGGAGGCCCACGTGGTCAGTTAAGGGTCAGGCTGCACCTGCCCTGAGCACGCGATCCAAGTGACCCAGGCGCACGCTGCTCTTCAATACGTTTGTGTTTGTATGTTTGGGATACGGGGCCTCCTAAAGCACAAGGTCCAGCCCTGGCTGGTGTGGCTCAGTGGATTGAGCTCAGGCCTGTAAACCAAAGGGTCTCCGGTTCGATTCCCAGTCAGGGCCCATGCCTGGGCTGTGGGCCAGGTCACCAGCAGGGGGCGTGTGAGAGGCAACCACGCAGTGATCTTCCCCTCTCTTTCTCCCTGCCTCCCTCTCTCTCTATGAAAAATAAATAACTAATAAAATCTTTTAAAAAATTAAAATAAAGCACAAGGTGCAGGGAAGGGGCTCTTCTCACCTGCATCTAAAGGGGATACTACCCTACACCCCGCCTTTGGCCAAACCTCCTTCTTTTTCCTAGCTAGAATGCCCCTGGTTCCTACAGACACAGTGTGTGACTTTGTAACAGGCTCCCTTGGCATAGCCATTTCTTAGAAGTTTCTCGGAGAAATTCAAAGGCGAAAATAATGCTGTTCGGTGAAGAGGAAACGCCAGAGGCAGCCGGGGAGGAAGGCGCCCCAGGCAAGGACTCCGCGGTAACACTACTCTCTGGTCTTTCTAGGGTGCAGCGTGCTCTGCCCCCCGGGCTGTCCTGGCCTGCGGCAGCGGTGCTTGTCCTGGAACCTTGAACCTGGGTCAGAGGCCTGCTGGAGCCCCTGGGCTGCCGTGGCGCTCTTCCCCCCGGGCACCTGGGAAGGCCAGGTGGGCCATAACGAACTCACCTGATGACATTTCCTCAGTCTCTGCGAGACACCAGTATCCACAGGAGAACCCTCGTTCATTTTCTGAGCTCTTCGCTTCCCCTTCTCTGGCACGTGCCGGGCGTCTCGCCTCTCATGCGCTCTCCTTCTGGGGGGGGTGAGTCTGACGGAAGGAGGTGGACGCCACGGCCCCGTGTCTGAGTGGCATGGACACCACAGCACGGTGTCGGGGTAGCGTCGACACCACAGCCCGGCGTCATAGTAACAAGAGCTACCCAAAGGAAACATGACATGAAAGATAGGGTTTTGCTGGTGAATTCATTTATTTTGCACTTATTAACAGATGACTACATACTGGACTCCTGAGGTAGGAACGGTAAACTGGTGTGTGACTATGGGACAGAGGACAGACACACTAGCTACCGAGACTTTCAGGAGGGGGACCTAACCGGTGTGCGTGCCAAAAGGTTCCCCGTGCCACGCTCCCAGCATGGCCAGGAAGGCCCCTGGGATAACGTGGGACGCGGGCACGCCCAGGCAGCCTCAGGTGGCTGAGGCTGAGATTCGAGTGGGAAAACCACCGTGGCCACGGGAGCCCCCCGGGGAAGGGCTGAGACCCCGAGGGCAGACTGCGCTGTGTCCACCCGCAATGCTAATAATCGTGGCAAAAGCATCTTTTGGAGAGGTTTTCTGGCTTGGCGGGAGACTTATTTTTAATGCTATTTCCCCGACACCAGGCAGTGTCCGGGCTGCGGGCACAGTGCCGGGCCACACAGAGCAAGTCCTGACCCCCGGGGTCACCCTCCCAGAGCAGAGACAGAAAGAATCACTTAATTTGGTTGTGAGTGGCGCTGTGAGGACAATGAGGGGGGCGAGCCGCGCTGGGGGCATCCTCTCTGAGGTGTGGCCAGGTAACAGGAGAAAGCAAACCGTGGGGAGTGCTGGCAGGACCTGGGCCAAGCCACAGAAACCAGAAGGGCAAGGTCCTGAGGCAGCGCCCACTTAGTGCTGGTTAAGTCCAGCACAAAGCGGAGCGAACCGAGGGGCGGAGGGCGGAGGGCGGAGGGCGGAGGGGTAGCTCGTGTCCAATAGAATCAAACCCGGTGACCCAGTCCACCCCTCCATCGTGAGAGAGGTTGAAAGAGAAATCAAACAATTTTATTGTCGGGCAAGCATTCAACCAGGGTTTCAGGTGGCTCCACTACAAGACGAGGACAAAGACATCTTGACCTTTACACAGGCGGTCTGACACAACCCCTCCGGAACACATCCGTGAACCGAGCAGCCGCTGGGCCTCCAGGGAGCAGACGGGACTACGGGGTTCCTCGCACGCAGAGTCCGTCCCCACTTCGCTGGGCGGCTGGGGTGCCGTCGTCTTTGGTTATGTTCCAAAAGGCTTCTGGTCCTTAGGAAAGGCACTCCAGGGTCTGGCAAGAGGATTCTCTCTCGCTTTAAAAAGGTTCATATACACTTCAAAGAGATGGAAAGAACTTACAAGTTTCCTAAAGCAAACACTCTAATGAAACTCTTCTGGGTCGGGGTGTAGTTATTGCTTAATTTTCATCGGAATTCAGTTTTTTTGTCACCTGTTTATACAGGTGTCCTGACACTCCCCCGGCAGCCCCCAAGGCTCTGTGCTTGCATTTCCTGGGCGTGTTAGTAATCCAGACAAGGACAAACGAATGCAAACCTCTTAAACCAGTACATAAAATCTGTCCAAAAAAAAATGAGTTAAGAAAACTCATTTTAGGATGAGCTGTTGTTCTCAAAGCCACTCCAGTGGACAAAAGCCAAATGTCCCCCGGATTTTCCTCATTGCAAAAACTGGTGTTTCACAAAACCAGCTTGAAACTGCTAGTCCCTCCAGGGGGGCAGGGGGGTTGGGGGGGCGGGAGGGAGGGGGAGGTCACAGTCAGAGAGCTGGCCGCTCGCAGCCGCCACTCACACGTGCTCAACCCCATCAACAGCAGCAGCATTACAATTCTTGCCCTGGCTGGTGTGGCTCAGTGGATTGAACGCCGGTCTGCAGACCCAAAACGAAAGCAAAAACTATATATATTCAGCTTATTCAGGTGTAATTCACATGCCATACAATTCGACTATCTAAAGCATACAATTTAATGGCTTCTAGTACACTCACAGAGCCATGCAGATGTCACCACAATCAATCCTACACCACTTTTGTCACTCCCCCGACACCCCCTGCCCCCGCTAGCGGTCACTCCTCTTCCCCCCACCCCACTCCCAGCCTTCTGCAACCGCTGGCCTACTTTCTGTGTCTGTGGATGAGCGGACCCGCGAAGTGGCATGTACATGGAATGACTCGGTGTGTGACCTTTTGCCTCTGGCTTCCTTCCCTCCGAGTGATGCGTTCAAGGTCCGTCCGTGCTGTTGCAGGTAACCACTTCGTTCCTTTTCATTGCTGAGTAATATTCCTTTATAGGGACGCACCACTTTTATTTATTCATTCATCAGTTGATGGGTGTTTGGGTCGGTTCCACCTTTTGGCTACTATAAGTAATGCTGCTACAAACACTCATGCATGACGGTTTTGTGGTGGACATATGCAGTTTTTTTTTAAAACAGCTTTACTGAGACACAGTTGACATGATAGTGCGTAATTGAAGGTGTACAATGGGATGACTTAATATAGGCCTATGCTGTGAAATGCTTTCCACTATGGGGTTAGCTCACGCTTCTGTCTTGTCACATAACTTTCTTTTTTTGTGATGAGTGTGGACACCTGTTTTCACTTCGCGTGGGTACCGACCCAGGAGTAGAATTGTTGGGTCATGTGGCAACCCTTTGTTTAACCTTTGCAGGAAATGCCGCCATTTTCCAGAGCGGCTGCACCGTTTCACATGCTCATCAAGAGTGTGTGATGGTTCCAGCTTCCCCGTAGCCTCACCAATAACTTGTTTTTGTCTTGTCTGTTTTCATTTATCGTTTTATTATAGCCTCACCAATAACTTGTTTTTGTCTTGTCTGTTTTCATTTATCGTTTTATTATAGCCTCACCAATAACTTGTTTTTGTCTTGTCTGTTTTCATTTATCGTTTTATTATAGCCTCGCCAATAACTTGTTTTTACCTTATCTGTTTTCATTTATTATTTTATAGCCTCCCCAATAACTTGTTTTTGTCTTATCTGTTTTCATTTATTGTTTTATTACTATGGCCATCCTAGTGACTGCAGTGTCTCCTTGTGGTTTCAATTTGCATTTCAATAGCACGTTGAACATAGTTTTCAAGTGCTTGTTGGCCATTTGTAGATCTTCTTGGCAGAAATGGTATTCAGACCTTTGATCTGTTTTGAGTTGGGTTATCTTCAGTCATGTAGGAGTCACATCTTTTCGTCTGTAAAAGGAGAGCGTGACTTCCTTACTGAGAGTTTCGAAGGTCAGGGGAGCAGCGACTGGCAAGGCTCCCAGCGCTCTGTGCGTGCAAAGCCTGCGCTCTGAAAAGTTGGTGAACCTTCAGCTCACCTTGCCTGGAAAGTAGAGGCCGAGTTGAGCTCCTCTCGCATTTCATCATCCAGCCCAGCGCTCGGCACGAAGACAGGCTCCATAAATGTCTGAGGAGTACACTGTGCCAATTCACACCACTCAATATTCAAGCGTCAATCTCAGGTGCTCTGCCCCCTGGCTCCCATTTCCTTCCGGGGACCTTTTCTTCCTGGAACAATGTCCTTAATTTGATTCCCCTTGCCAGCTGCCTCTTCTCCTGACGTCTAACTTGCAGTATCATTGAAGCTGATTACAGGAGAACCAAAGGTGCCCCCGAACACAGCTCTGAGATGAAGATGAGTAACCTTTGAAGGAGCGAAGTGGCTGTCAAAAGAACCTGTCCCCTTTCAGAGAGCCCGACAAAAAGTCATTCAAGTACTGAGCTCGGTGAAAGAAATGAGGTTTTGAAAAACCTGATTGCATATTGACAGAGCTCTTCAGCACAGTTCAGTAACCTGGATGACCTAGCCTGCTCCGAGGCACAGCCCCCTTTCTCATTTGCAGAGGACCCCACCACCGTCAGGCCCCTAAATCGAGGCTGGTGGCACCCCTCCCCAGGGGTGCAAAGCCCGCAGTGGGCTGGATTTGGGCGGCGGGATGGCAGCAATTTGATCCTTCAGCCGAGTGGGGAGTCCAACTGACTACAGACTTACTCAGAGGCGCTCTGCCAACCCCAGCTCCGTGCCCGGGGCAGAACGTGAAAGGGCAAGCGTAGGTGAGAGGTGCGGCCCATCTGCCTTGCACCTCAAGCAGCCCAGTACCAAAAACACCCCATGAGAAAACGGGTGTGTGCAGTTTGCCCAGTGGAAAGGATTATTTGCTGGATTTGGCCTTAGGCGCGGGGCTAACGAGAATGTGGAAAACACGGGGTGGAGGGACGGGAGACACTGGATTCGGCTGCAGGACGGTGACCCCAGGTCACTCTCTTGAGCCTGCTCTAGAACAGGCCCGGGGAGTGTTGGTGGAAGGTGGAGACGGTGGGGCCCTGGGGTACAGGCGCAGGCTTGGATTTATCTTCGCACTGAGGATCTAGCATGGTGCTCATGGGCTGGCCTGGCCTCGTAAGGGAACTCAGCCCCAGGCGGGGCAGACCGCCAGGTCGCGCATCCAGTCGCGGCAGGGGACTCGGTGTAGGGACGCATCTCCAGATTTGCACAGAGGTAGGGCGCCACCGCGCCGTCTCCAGCTCCGAGGCAAACCCGGCGGCACGATACCGGCCGCCTCTGCGCACGGTCACCCCAACACCCCAACGTCCCGCAGGTGTTGCGGTGGAAGCCCGAGGCGCCAGCCTGGCGTAGACCGTTTAAGCCATCCCGCGCTTCTCATTGGACAAAGGCCCTTGTCCATCACTGAGGGACCGCTACTGGACGAGGCCGGACGTCCGGGACGACGCATCTCGTTGCTGAGTGGGGAGGGGGCGAAGATGCAGTACCCAATGGCAATCAAGATCTTTGCTTCCACAGAAGATTGGCAGATGCTCGAACCACTGAGGCTCCGCGGAGGGATATTGTTCGTGGAAAATGATGCGTCCATTCTGCGGTCAGCGGTTTGTCCCGGTGCGCGTTTTCTCTTGGTATATAAAGAGGGAAATTAATTGACTCGTAAGTGAAGCTGCGCTGCAGGCCAGGGTGGTTCTTTCAAATAGTATTTTGGTTTTCAGCGAAGGCTCCTGACTTCGGTAGACTTTTCCAGGAATTACCTGGTTCCCCAGGACCCCTTAGTGAGGCGCCCCCTTCCCTGCGTAGGATCGGAGCTCGACTCACCCGCGCCGCGGCGCGCCGCAAACGGCGGCCTAAATAAAGGGCCGTGTGTGCTGTTCCGTGAATTAAAGCCAAGATTGAATGGATGGTTGTCAGTAGAAAAGAGGCAGAGACAGAAACTGTTTGCAGGGGGGAAAAATGTAAGGAGCACTTAAAACATTTGGATGGATACTCAACCTTTTTCATAGTAAGGAAAATGCAAATTAAAACCACCGAGCTAACATTTCTGACCTATCCGGTTAGTAAAAATCCAAATTTGAACAAGGCACTGCGTTAAACATCGGCGTAGAAACTGGCTCTGTCACGTGTTGGCTGGTGGCGCGCAGGTTGGCATGGGGTGAGGGGGGTGGGTGCTCCGTATCACGAAATAACGTGAATGTAGGTTTGAATCAGCGGTCCCTTAGAGGAATCGACCCTGAGAACACGCTTCCACAGCTAGTCGCCCAAAGTCCTATCCATAGTGGTGTTTGAAGTAGCACAAGACTGGACACGACACACGCGTCCCTTGGTAGGGAAATGGCTGAACGAACCGCGGGGCTCGGCCCCGTGCACGGTTGTTGCTGCACAGCGGCCGGTGCTGTTCTCTGCGGAGTGATATCCAGAGGCGTTGTGAAGTGCGCGCCGCTACCTTGAGCAAAAATCAGGGCAACAGGGTCCCGACCAAACGAATAAAAATGGTTTACTCAGAAGGAGCAGAGGCGGGGGTGGTGGAGAACCTGGGGGAAGCCTTTGAGGGGAGGGGGCGTTAGAAGGAAGGGATAGTAACGGCAATTGTAAGAGGAAACCAAAGACCACAAAAATCCGTGACGATGCGCATTTGCTCAGCTTGGCCACTGCCCTCCTGGGACCCAGTACTAGACCCTGGAAGGGCAGGCGTGCTTGGCCGGGTGGGCCTCAGGGTACTTCCGATGGGACCTTGCTGTCCCAGGGGCCCAGGGTATCTGGAGGAGAAGAGGGCAGAAGGGCAATGACTTTCACCTGCTTCAAGGTACGCTCAACTCTCCTCCCACAGTGCAGAGCGGGGCCTGGCCGGGGATCCCAGACGGCGAGGCTGGTGAGGCCCACGGATGACTGTGGGTCTGGGCCAGGCCGGCCACACCGGCAGCCCTGCAGCTGCGGCTCGGGTGGAGGCAGAGCCTCTCGCTGCTGTTCTTCAGTGCCCGGTCCCACGGACGCCACGCTGTGCCTTCAGAACGCGAGGCCCCGTCTTCCACCTGACGTTTTCCAGGCCCAGACGGCTGCCCAGAAGATACACTTTGTCACACTGTGAGTACCGGGGGGGTCCTTTGGACAAGTGCATGTGCTTCTGATCAAACTGGGAAGAACAAAACAACCTCAAAGTGATCTGTTCTTAGGAAAACTGTTTACATTTCCAGATTTTTTTTAAAAAATGGAAAACAAGTAAAAATCAGCCGCAGAGTGGGGCGGAAGGCTGGGTGCACGGAGCTCACGGCAGGCTTGCCCTTAGCTGTAGCCTGCTCCTAAAGCCGCTTGGGTTCTGTGTAATCTTCGGTATGGCCCCCGGAGACGGCAGCCACTCGGAGGGCGGGAAGCAAGGAGACACTAATTTTGTCCAGGTGATGCAGTTACAGACGCCTGCGGGGAAGGAGGAGGCCCTGAAAGATCTCTGGCAAGGAGAGTTTGGTAGACAGAAATGGACCGTCCGTGGCTGTGGTTTGTAACCCACTGCGGGTGTGTGATGGGTGACAAGTTGCTGCCATTTGTGTGGGCACCTCCGGAGTAGGGCTCCCGGGAAGGGCAGTGATTGGACGGGGTGGGGGGTGGGCGGGAACTCCGAGGCTCTCACGTGGTGCTCAGTGCTGGTGGAGACTGCGCCCTGACGTCTCTGAACCTGCAAACCTGGCCAGTTCATCCTGATTGGCCTCTGTCGGCCCCTGTGGCCCTAGCCCTGCTCATGGTAGGGCCACAGTGGCGGTAGCCTGCCTTGTGGAAGTCTGACTTCTCCTTCCTCTCCCCGTCCCGCCCACTCGCTCTTTCTCCGGGACCGTTTGGATTTAGAGGCCCTAACGCAATCGAATTGTCTTCTTCTCGGCACCTGTGAACAAACAGGGTGTTTCGCCCCAGTTTCAGGTTGCAGGGCGGGGCGTTGTCTCAGGTTGCGAGTTAAGGAGTTAACGTTCTTGCTATAAACTCCAGGAAACCCGTAAGAACGGGTCTGAATCAGCAGGTGCATTGTTTCCGAAGGTGCTTGGATTTCCCCCACCAGTGGCAACACCGGTACCAGGGGCGACGTACGGGTGTCTGTTTGAGATGGGTTGTAAGGGGACTCTCTGGCCGCAGGTGGACTCAAGGGTGTCCCAGTGAGGCCGATGAGGTGACGGGAACGGTGTAAACAGGAGAGGGTGCTTATCTGAGATGGCGTCAGGGCCCCCAGCAGTCTCAGGGGCCAGCGGGGCTTCCTGGAAGCTCCAGCGGCCCCTGGGGAGTGTCGCGTGTCCCAGGTACTTCAGTCACCGGCTTCCAAGTCCCTGGCAGGTGACAGCGGTCCTGGTGTCTACCCAGTGCCACCCCCTGTCCCTCCCTCACAGAGCCCAGTGGGATCCAGTTGCCCCTCCTCTGAGTGGCCATGTGTTCAGGGGACCTGGCCGCTTCCCCAGGCATCTCAGCCAGCCACGGTGGTCTGTGCCAGTCCCCTGCTGAAGCGCGGACACGTGACGTCTTCTGGCCAGCTGGCACCTGAGGGGAGGACCCGTTCCCCCAGTCCTGGAGACACAAGCAAGAGGTGGTGACCCTTTGGCTGCCTCTGGACGTGACACCTGGACTCCTACGGCCATCCTGCAACCGCGAGGAGAGGTGGTCCGTGACGGGAGCCCGCACGGCGAGGAAGGTGGCGCTGAGAGCTTCGCACCCTGGGCCTGGCCCTCCCGGGCCTGCAGCCTCTCCGCCGTGGACCCCTCAGGGACCTAGCGCGGGGCGGCGGTGGGGGGGTGTGCGGTCTGGACAGTCTCCAGCAAGGAGAGTCTGGTAGACAGAAAAGGACTGGGAGAGGTGGGGGGAGCATGGTGCCAGTGCTGCCGTGCGCGGCCTGGGGGCCTGGCCAGTGCGTGCCTCCAGGGGACAGGGAGGTGAAACCACGCAGGGGTCCCCGAGACCCCAGAAAGAGAGCAGACATTTCTCTAATCATACAAGTTTTAAAAAGCATGCCGAAAAAAATACAAATAAAATTTGAAAGAAGTAAAAAGCACTGACATTCGGCTACAACAGACACAGCAGCCCCTCCTGCCGCGCAGATCGTCCGGGAAGCGGCGGGGGAATCACAGCGCCGGGGGGAGGGGGGAGGGGCCCCGGGAGAACTACAGCCAGCACGGGCGGGGCGGGGGGGTTCGCGGAAGGAGGGCCACCGTTCCCTCCGCTGTCACTTGAGGTGTGTCAGATGCCGTGGCTTCACTTAATTCTATGTGTTGATTTAGGTCCTTTGTGTTTTTTAAAGATTTTATTTACTTATTTTTATAGAGAGGGAAAGGGAGGGGGAAAGCAGGGAGAGAAACGTCGATGGGCTGCCTCTCTCACGCCCCCCTCTGGGGCCCTGGCCCGCAGCCGGGGCACGTGCCCTGACCGGGAATTGAACCGGCGGCCTTTTGCTCTGCAGGATGACGCCCAGCCCACTGAGCCACACCAGTCAGGGCTGTTTTAGTTTTACTCCAGCAAATAAAAAATATAAGAACTTCGTGGGCCCTCCCTCACTCAGTTGGCTATGAACTTCCCGCCAGCGGGGTGACGGAAACCAGGCTCCAGCCGCACCGGGTAACCCCTGGCGTTGCCGTCGCCCCGCGCACGTGCTCGGCGACTCGCAGGAACGCGCCGCGCTCGCGCCCTGTCCCGGACACTGTCCCGTGAGGCCGGGTCGGCGTTCTCTGGACTGCTGCCCGGGGCGGTCCCCCGCCCCCGCACGCGTGCCCGCCTTCGCTGGAGGACCCAGTCTCCGTTAAGGCAGGCACCGCACCCGTGCGCCGTGAGCACTCAGAGGAGCCTGATTACATACACGCGGAGGAGTCTCGTGCCTACAGGGGAGAAGCTCCTGGAGGGCTTAGCTCGGATACGGCTGTTTTGCTCCAGGGTGGAGGGGGAGACTGAGTTAGCCTTTCTGCTCAGAGTGCTCCCCTGCTGCTTGCTTCCATGCAGTCACAGAACCTTCCGGAAGTCCTTCTAAGGCAGAATGAGAGTGTCATGTGGCACACCTGTCTGCCATGCACCTCTACGTCTGTGGGCACAAGACACAGGAAGCCTACGGAAGTCCGAAAGTAACAGGCTGGGGTCATGGGTCAGGGCGGGGTCACGGTGCCGCGGTCACGGGCATCCCACTGGGCGGCGGCCTACATGTCGTAGAGCCTGAGCTGCTCCTGCACGTCGCCGGCCGACATCTCGCCGAACGTCTCCTTGTTGTCCTCCATGAGCTTGAAGATGGCCGCCAGCTGCTCTTTCTGCACTCTGCCAGGAAGAAAGGAAACAGAGGAAGAAGCTGCTCCTGACCCAAGGCAGGGAGAGAGGGAGAGACCCAGCGCGTCCCCAGGGGGTCGGGCCGCCCCTCTCCTGTGTCGCTGCATCCGCTCTCTAGAACAGGAAGAGAACCAAAGTCAGACAAAACCCGCTGGGAACACGGGAGCTGGTTCTGAACACTGGGGTCCTCAGTGCTGGGGTTACCCTGGAGACTTAGGGACCCCCAGTTCCTGCTCAGGTTCTCTGTGTTCAGTTCCCCGTGACCCCTTTTACTGTTGACCGCACGTCTCACAGAGGGGAGGGGGGACAGGGTGGGCCCCACCGAGTGGCTGGGGATTCTGTGCGAAAACGTGTTAGACACAGTCTTAGTTTAGAGAAATGAGCCCAAAGTAGAGGAAGAAAAAACATCATGGGCTGGGAAATAGGGGCACTCACAGATGTGCTTGGCCAAGGGGCGAGGCTTGGGTGTGGGGTCCCACTGCCCGAGGAAGGGGCACCTTTTCCTAATGGGCACAAAGACGCCATGTGGCCGCCAGGGCCCCTGCCGCCCTTCCAGGGGCCGGGCATGGCCGGAGGTGAGCTTTATGTTTCTGAGGCTCGGCCGTGCCACCTGGCCAGCGCGGGGCTGCGCCCCGCCGTGCAAACTCGAAGGGGCGGGGTGAGGCTGCAGCAGAAGCCAGGGGACGGTTTGCCAGGCTGCCACCTGGCACTGCGTGCTGGCCCCGGCTCACTGTTCTGGCTTCGGGCTTCTGCGCCGGCCACCGTCAGGGGATGTCAGCCCAACGGCAGGGTGGGACCCCCAGGCCCCTCCCTGCAGCCGGGCCAGCTGCGGTCACAGCGCGTCCCGCAGAGCAGGCTTTGGCACTGTCCTAACACACCCCTGCTGCGAGAACCCCAGGGCCCCCACCCGGCCGTTGGTTTTCCGACTACAGTGGCATCTACAACCTGAAGTACTGAAGTCCCAAATGCCGGCCTGTCTCGTCGCCCTGGGAACGTCCTTTCTTTCTGGGGGAGAAAGGGCCTGTGATAAGCACCCCGCTGTCTGAACAGGGGACAGTGCTGGGAGTTGAGAGGGTGTTGCTCAGCCCCTTGGGTGGACTCGCACAGTCCAGAGGTACGCGTGGGCGCCCCCCCACCCCAGTGGGTGCAGATTCTCTCCTGTGTCTCCGGTGGCTGGGACACTTGCGTGTTCTTAACAGGGTGGACACGGGACTTCTGGCTCTGCTGGAGAGGGCCAGGCATCAACATGAAAGGAAGCTCAAATTTTAAGGGGTTCACAGGTTTTTGAAAAAACAAAGCAAAACTAAAAAAAGCACACAATAATCAGGACCGTCTACTCAGAGTTTATTGGACCGAACAAAGGCTGAAAACGCGGATCCACGCCATCGGCGTGGGTGAGCCTTGGCGCCTGCGTCCCAGAAGTTCCCAGACAAATCAGACTGGAGGGAGCCACCTGCTGACTGCGTCAGTAAGAGCCCAGCCTGGACAAGGACACTGCCGTTGCTGCGTGGGGCGTGTGTGCCCCCCACACACCTCCTCACGTGGCGCTGCGTGGCGGCGGCTCGTCGCCCGTTCTGCCCACGGCCCCTGAGGTGTCAGGCCCGGAGGAGAAGGCCGCACACCCTGTGGGTTGGCACTGGACATCTCCCGGCCTTCCGTTAAATGGAAACTTTTTTTTCTATAAACTTATTGCTTTAAAAAATGTTTTAACCAACATATCTAAAAGCTGCGGACTAGTTTGGCATCGTATAAATATTGTCATATACAAAAATTCCAGGAGAGGAATCTGGGGCTGATCTAAGGATCTGGTTAGGCTCTAACTCATCTCGGAAAGTTTCTAGGGAGACACACCACTGAGTCATCCAGTGTAAGCGAACACCGTTACTGCCGCTTCGGGCGGTCTGGCTGAACGGGCAGGACGCGGATCGGTGAGGAGGCCTGGGAGCGCCCGGAGGGCTGCTGCGCGCCGCCCCGGACGGGAAAAGACGGGCAGCCGTGCATCGGGGCCGGCCCTGGTTCTCGGCCGCTCAGTCGGCAGCGGCTGCGCCAGGCAGGGGAGGGCGGTGGCCCTGCTCGGTCCCCTCTGTCCCCCGCATCTCAGAGCCTTTCCGGGTTGGGCTTCAGGGAAGGAAAAAGCGCAAGGGCCGGGATAAAACTCTCCGGATTTAAAAATGACGGAGTTGGCGCGCCCGTGGCGTTCCCAGGTGTGCAGGGTGTGTGGGGGCAGGGAGTGAGAACAGACCCTTAAAACCCTTCGGTGTAATGAAGCCAGCCACCTGACAAGGAGGAACGCCCCGACAGCAGGGGCGCAGAGGCGTCCCCCGGGCCGTCGGCTGAGGGGGGCGTCCTGTCCGAGCGTCCGCGTGCCGGCACTGTGCGGGCACGGGGCGCCTGGGAGCCTGCAAGGCTGCCCTCTGGGGGGTACGTCTTATCTCTCAGGCCTTTAGGGCGCCAAGTGGAAAAGCCTGTAGGAGGGCGCTAGGGGCAACTTCGTCACTCTTCAGTTCTGCAGAGAGAAACAGGGAGAGAAGGTCACTGATCCGACTCGCCGCGCCCTGTGAGAGCCGTGGAGGGGCAGTGGGTGAGGAAGGGGAGGGGTTGGAATTGCAGAAGCCGGCGGGGCGCTGGCTTCCCCACACTGGAGGGCTGCTTCACCCCTCGTCACCTTCAGCAGGACGGTCTGTGCCGCTAAGCGGCAGTGGGCCCCCCCCAGGGGACCCCGCACGGGAGCTCAGCAGCCTGCGGCCCCGTCCCACGTCTGCGTGGCATGTGGGGAGCTGGGGCAGGGCCTACACTGAGGTAGTCAGGCAGGCCACGCACCGGGCACTTCGGCCTTGTGGCTGTGCTGGGACGGGCTTCCCACTCTAGATTATTTCCTATTCCTGCTGCCTGGGTTTTGCCCCCTTTGGGGACACTAGCAGCTTGGGACTCATGCTCCTACAGTCCAGGTCCCCGCTTTGGGGGGACCCCGCTTTTTCTAAAAAAAAAAAATCCCCCAGAAACCCAGAGAGAACGCAGGGATTCAATTTTGTCCCTCTGGCGCCCTCTTCTGGAGGTCAGAGTCAGCACGTGTTTTTAGAAACGGACACCGGCGGATCATTTGGGGCCACGTCAGGCAGCAGATGTTAGGGGACCATCCCACAGCCAGGGTTTCTCTGCCCCTTCTCACCCTTGCCCACTGTGCCATACAAAACCCCGTCCACTGGAAGCCTGTCCGTCAGTCCCGTGGACCTTCAGAATGGAGCGGGTGCTGGGGTCCCGGGTCCTCATCTATCAGAGCCAGCCTGGGGTACAGCCAGGGTTGCGTCGTTCCTCTGAACCAGTGCGGGGGAGAGCGGGTGGCGTGCAGTGAGCGGCCTGGATGGTGGCGCTCCACCCCTCTCCTGCCAGCCTAGGAGCCGGCCAGGCCTACCAGCTTCGCTAGCTCTGGGGTGCGGGGACGTCTTGCTGGGGGCCGGGGCACAGCCACCAGCCTGCAAGCCCACTGTCCTAGCTGTCCTCAGGCTGGGCGGGGCGCCTCCCAGAGAAGCCAGGCGGGGCAATGCCGAGGTGGCCCGTGAGCCCCGCGCCCCAGAGAGCCAGGAGGAGGGGGCGGACGGTGGCAAAGCAGGTCTTTCTTAGGCAGCAGCGGCCTCTGGACTTACAGACCCTCATCCACGCTGCGCCTCGGGCGGAGGAGTCAGCGCTGTGAGCCGTCCCTAGGGTGGGGGTACTGAGTTAGACACGCAGAGGCGCAAATGTGGGGTCTCCCGCTTTCAGTCCCGCTTCTTAGGCCCGTTCCCTGAAAACTTGTCCACGGAGGCCTCTGGGGAGGGCTGGGTCGCGTGACCACAAACACGTCAGGCTCTAGACACTGTGTTGGCGGAGTCAGTGAGTTACAGCTGGGCGCTGCCCGTGTTTGCTGGGTCTCTGGCTTGCAACTTGGCTGGGGCCCTGAAGGCCGGGGAAGGGATCGGGAACAGGCAGAGCCCGGCCGTGAGAATCCGTCCGGTGAAGAGGAGTGCACACGCTTCACCGGCTCGTGGTGCCCGCGGCCGGACGGCGGTGCGCACGCAGTGTTCCGCACCGGTGCTTTCGGGGCGGGTCTCTGGGCCAGCCGGTCACGCCGTCTCGCACCTGCGAGCAGCCCCAGGCCCCGCCAGAGCTGCCGTGCTGTAGGTGGAAGTCAGAGCCAGGCTCGCCGGCCTCTGCAACCCAAGCGTCGCCATGCCAGGAACAGGAGTGGTTTGGGAGGGGGGGCGGGGAGCAAGGGGGCCCCTGAGGGCCGCGCGTGCTGACCACATGCAGGGCAGGGGGAGCGAGCAGACGTCACAGGCAGGCATGTCGGACAGCCGCAGGGAGCATGCTTGGCGGGGCAGCGGTGAGAATGAATGTGGACTCCAGCCCCTGCCTGTGAGGAACTGGGTTCAAGGGCCGCAGAGTCTGCCTGTCCCTCCTCCTCAGCTCAGGGTGCACCAGCGACCCCGCAGCCTGTGCAGCCTGTGTGTGTTGGGGGGGTGGCGAGCACCCTGTCTGGACGTAGCAGAGAAGGGACTTGCCCTCCGCGTGCCCGAGGCCCCGGCTCTGAACCCAGTGACATCGTAGCCTGACAGCCTGGCGCCCCCCACGCCGAGGCCTGGCGTCCGGTCCCCGGCCTGGTCCCTCCTGTTCTGACGGTCCCGCCGGTGCACGCGGTGCACACAGACCAAAGGCCGCAGCCTGCGTCCCCGGGACCTTTGAGGGCCCACGGTGTGCCATCCCCTCTCGATCCTCCACCCGGGGGCTGCACCCTTCCCTGTACGGAGCTGGCTCTCTGAGGCTTTCTGGGCCACGGGGTCTCTGCTGCAGCTCATCCGCTCAGGCCACCGCAGTGCGAGAGCCTCCGCAGGCCGCAGGAAAGGGGGCCCGGCCGTGGTCCCGTCCCAGACGCACAAGAACAGGGCTGAGGTCAGCCCCCTCTCGCTCTGGTCGTGAGGACCTGCCTGTCCGGCATCTTGGGGCACAGGGTTCCTTCTGCCTTGCACTGTTCTACAAGCTGTGTCACCTCCTTAGAGTAGAACTGAAGCTGTGGCGTGACATCCTGCATGTGCTGCAGTCCCGTGTGATCCCCACAAGAGGGCGCTAGCCCCCACCAGCTAGCCCATTAGGTCCATTTGCCTCTAGGAACCTGGTGGCATCAGGAAGGGGGGGCCTGTTCACCAGGTGATCCCTGCACCCAAGAAGAATGTGGCTCTGGGTGCACAGCAATGTGCGTGTTCACTGGTTGTGAAGGAGATGGAGGAGGGGAGGTTTGCCCACAGCAGTTGTGTTGGGGATACGCTCACAGACAGGATGAGGGAAGCACCACTAGTCTAGGAAGTCAGTCTCCTTACCAAAAGGATTTGCAAGAGTGTTTGTGGCTCAGGACCTAAGGAACTTGCTACAGGGAAGTGAGGTCAGAGGTCAGCTCAATCCTGAAATATAAAGGCAGCACACCAGGTCACACCGCGGCAGCGTCATTGCAGGGAGGAGTGGGTGCTCCCTGGGCCACCTTCCCCCGCCCAGGGCCGTCCTCCGCTGGGGTGGCACTGCCGCCCCTCTCCCCGGGCGGACAGCCTCCGAGCCAGGAAGAGCGGGGGACCACTACCGGTGGGGACATAGGGGTTCTCGCAGACAGAGCGGCTTCTGACCGCTGGCGGGTACTGGGGGGCTGGGGAGGGCAGTGGGAGGTGGCCGGGCCTGAATAGCACTCTCCGCGTCCCTCTCCGGGTGCCAAGGAGTGGGGGGGAATGGGGGTAGGTGGGGGCGGTCGCCCAGGCCTCTGCGGGTGGCCAGACAGAAGAGGCACAGCAGCCAGTTAGACCCCCGATGGAACCAAGGGGCTCTGGGCCCTAGGCCACCCCCCAAGTGTGGGGACAGCTGGGGTCACAGTTGTTGAGAGACCCAGGCTCTCCTGTGGCCTGCCCGAGCTGTCCGGCTGCTTCCAGGGCTGCTTAGCCTCTGGCGGGATGGCCTGGGTGGGAATGCGGAGGGTGCCCGTGGCGTGCAGCGGGTGCTGGCTGGGGGAGGGGGACAGCCTGACTCTAAAACAAGAAGCTGCGCAGCAGCAGCCACAGCCGCCTCCGAGCTGTGCGGAGTGGGATGGACAGGACGTGACCGCGGGCTCCGGGGCGGGAGGGGCGGGGGCGGCCGCCCCACGGGTGGGCATGAGGAAGCATGTCCCACCCCGAGCGATACGCTGGTGTTGTCATGACCTCAGCGTGTAAGCGGGCAGCCGGGTCTGCTCCAGGCCCTTCCCCGGCATCTTGCCTCTTTTCTCTTTCTGGGGGGGCCGGGGGGGCAGGGTGGGAGTGCAGGTCACAGGCTTGGCACCGGCTCCCCGAGTGCCCCGAGGGGAAGTCCCCAGGGGGAAATGGAGCCCCCGCGTGAATAGTGCGGGGGGGGGGGGGGGAGCGACGCCCTGGGATGAACATGGAAACGGTCGGGGCCGTGCAGCCCGCAGGGGCAGGGCTCCTCCCCGCCCCCGAACCGCGGGCGCAGGGGAGGCAGCGGGGCTCCCGGCAGAGAGCCGAGCGGCCCTGGGGAACCGACCGAGGGGGGGGTGGTGCCTACCTCTGCTCCTCCTCCAACTCCTCCTGGGTCATCATCCTCTTGTACTGGCTCCCCCGCAGCTTCCCGGGGCTGTACTTGAAGGAGAAGGCCTCTCCTCCTGTGGGCAGGGGCCGGGTGAGGGCCGGCAGAGGGTCAGGTGCCGGGTCCCTCCTGCAGGTTGAGCCCCGTTCCCCCCTTTGTTAGTTCTGAAGGACCGTCCCGGCCAGAGAGCCCCCCCTTCGAAGAGAGGCAGAGGGCGCCATCAGCCAGCGCCAGCCCGGGGGCAGCCTCGGCCCAGGACAGGGCTCTCGCCCTCACCCGCACCCCGTGGGCCCGCCCCCCCAGCCCTCCCCGAGACGTCCTGCTGAGACAGCCAGAGGGAAACGAGCGCCCACGCCCAGAATAATGCGGCTCCTGCCCCACACGCTTCCCTCCGGGGCCGGCCGAGCCGTCCGGAGAGCCGGCTGGCCGGCCGCCCCTCCTCACCAGGCCGCTGCCTGCACGGCCTGTCTCGCCTCATTGGGAGGCCCCTGGCTGCTGTGCTCATCACCGCGGACGGAGGGAGCCTGTCTCGGGGAAGCAGGCCATGCTAAGGCGCTGGACCCCCCGCCTCTCCCGCTGCGCTCCTCCAGTCTCACGGACGTGGGGCCCGTGCCCAGCAGTCCAGCGGTGTCCTGCCAGCCAGGCTCATTCTCTCCACGCCACAGCTGCCTTTGAGAGCTCAGAAGGGCGGCCCTCGAGGCCTGGGGGGCGGGTGGGGGGGGTGGCAGGGGGTTCGGACGGGGGAAGCAGGAAAGCAGGGGAACAGGAGGTGGAGCGAAGGCCGGCGCTGGGCACACGGGCCGGATGCAGGCGGCACCCGCAGCCGAGGGCGGCGAGGGCAGAAGAGAAGAGACCAGCTTCCATGTGGAGAGAAGCTGTTTGGGGAGGAGTGGCCTTGAGGGGTCCTTCGGCCTGGCGGGTGCAGGGTGCCTGGCCTCTGGCCAGCTCCAGGACAGATGCCGAATGGCCCATCTTTCCTCATTTCCATTAAGGCAGAAAGAACTGAGTGAGGGGGACGCAGAGACCAGCAGCCAGTCACCCTCCCACACGGTGCGTTCTTTCTCAGTCCCGTTCTAGAGGGCCCGCCCGCTCCCACTCCCGTGTCGGGAGTCTCGGACACCTGCGCGTCCTGCCCGCCGGGCCCCCCGGACCTTCGGCTGCCGCCCGTCCCACGTGACCAGAGAGGCCGAGGGGGCCCCGCGGTGGGGGAGCGAGAGGCCTTGGCCTCTCAGGCCCTGGCTTTCCCTCGGCCACACCCAGGAGGCTCTGGACGCAGACCGAGAGCCCAGTCCTCGTGCCGTGGGGCTGGCTTCCTCTTGCCAACGCCGCCCTGCCTGGGGGGAGGCTGGCCCTGGCCCACACGCGGCCCAGGGGCTCCTCACCCCGCACCCCACCGCCCGGGGGGGCCTCTTGTTCCGGAGCCGTGACTCTTCCTGCACGGGGGCTAACTGGCCTGCGTCCCCCAGGGATGTGTCGTGCGCGCCGTTCGAGGTGTTGGGGCTGCGGCAGTGCGCGGCACAGCGAGCGGAGGGGAGGGGCGCAAACGCCGAGCTCACGGCGGGGGGAGGGGCGGGGGGGCTGGGGAGGGCTTCATGGAGCCGGCACAGCGAGGAAGCCTGGGTGGCGCGGAGCCAGGGACAGGAGGGCATGGCCTTCCTCCGGGTGAGACGGGACTCGCTCCCTGCTTACCGGAGACCCCCGCTCCCACTGGCCAGCTCTCCCCTCCAGGCTGAGCTCTGGGGGGGCCCCGGGAGCACCGTTCCTCCTGGGGCCTCAGAAGCAGGAGCCTCCTGCAGCACCGGGTGTGGACAGACGGCGTCCGGGGCCTGGGGACTCTGCTGGGTGACCCCGCAGCACCGGGTGCGGACAGACGGCGTCCGGGGCCTGGGGACTCTGCTGGGTGACTCAGGGCCACCGCTCCAGGGGCCCGGGCCTTCGGAGTCGGTCCCACCGAGCCGCAGACTCAGACCGAGCCGGCCGCTGGTGCTCGGCCCTGACCTCAGCGAGAGGCAACAAAGAAAGGCAGTTCACCTCCCTGTCGAGGTCAGTGTGTTGCTGTTTTGGAGAAATAAAACGTCCAAAATGCTGCCAGCCAGGTTTCAATTTATGGGGCACCTATGATTCATTTTACACTTTCCAAGCCAGGGAGACGTGACACGGCTTTCACATGATCACACGCGTGTACCAAGCGACACCCAGACATTCCCAGTTGTGCCAGACCAGGAGGGCTCTGCGTACAGCCCCCAGGGAGGGCAGGCGTCCCCCTGCCTCTTGCGTGAGCCCAGCGCGTGCTTAGGGCACACAGACCCACTTGCCCGGGGCCGAGCCGCTCACGGCGGAGGGCCTGGCAATCTGCTCGTGTTTTCTTCTGCCAGCTGGGGCCCCCAACCTCCCCTCCCTCTCCGAGTCAGGGCCCACGGGGGGTGGCTGGGGTGGGGGGTTCCAGGGCAGCAGTCAGGGAAGGAGGGAGGCCCAGGGCGGGGCTGGAGCTCTGGAGAGTGGTCTGCAGACCCCCGGCCCAGGGGCCTCCAGCAGCAGCCTCAGCTTTTGCTGCCCGAGTCCCCAAGTCACTGACAGGGTGCGCCGACGTGGCAGAGACAGACGCGGGGGCACAGTTTCTGCAGACGGTCCGGGGGACCGACAGCTTGGAGGGGGAGCCGGCAGAAGGGGCCGATGTCCGCCTCACCCGCACCCCCCGCAGCCGCCTGCCCTCCCTTGGCCTCTGAGGCTGTGTTGACAGAGCCCACAGCCCAGCCCTGCTGGGCCTCCAGGGGGAAGCTTCGGCCCCCACCCCCGCCCACACTGGCCTTGGCGGCCGCATTCCTGCAGCCCTCTCTTTCCACGGCTCCTGCCAGCAGTCGGCTTAAAGACACAGCGCCAGCCTTGCTCTTTGAACATTATGAAATGTTTCAGACACACACAAGAGTACTGCAGTAAGTCCTCCACGTACTTGCCGTATACATGTAACAAATGGTGACATTTTGCTGTTTTTGCCTCAGGTTTTTTTAAAAGAGAACAGAAACATGACGGATGCGGCAGAAGCCCACCCGTGCTGGGTTCTTGCGCTGTCCAGGGACGGGCCCCTGGGGGGTGGGTGCCCAGGGGAAACAGGGCCTTCCACTCAGTGGGGTTTTGAGCCGGTCAGTGTTGAGCCGGGCCAGTTTCCTCACCGTTCCTGGTCACTCCCTGTCCCGTCTCCTGGCCGCTGATGGCCCGGGAGGCCTGGCGGGTGAGTGCGGCTGCTCAGGAGTCGGGCGCCCCCTCCCCCGGGGCCTTTCCTCCGCAGAGAGCAGGGGCAGCAGCCCCGAGGAGGGGGCTGAGAGGCTGCTCAGGAGGCAGGCCGGGGGGGCGGGGTGCTCGGTGCTCGGTTCATCCTCGGGATGGGCCACCTGTGTTTGGACCCAGGCCGTGTTTTACAGGCGCAGAGGCGGAGGCTGAGAGAGCCAAGGAGGTGGGTGGGGAGGTGTGTGCAGAAGGCGGGGTCGGCGAGGGTCTCAGCCCTTCTCCCTTATTCTCTCCCCACCCGCCCACCCACTGCCACTCAGACCCTCGGCAGGGGACCGGCCCCAAAGGCCCACAGGGCAGCCCAGCATTCGTGGCCTGACAGAGGGCGCCGGGGAGGGGCGGAGGGGTGTGGCCTGGAGGCAGGGCCCACTCACCTTCCTCCTCCTCCTCGGGCCCGGCTGGGTCCTGCTCGGCTGGGTCCTGCTCCTGCTCCTGCTCCTGCTGCTGCTGCTGCTGCTCGTGCTCCTGCTGCCGCCGCCCCTCCTCCTGCGAGACAAGGAGCCCGGGTCAGTGCCCGGAGTGCAGGCCGTTTCCTCCCCGACCCCCGACCCCTGACCCCTGGGTCCCCTCGCAGGGGGGATGTCCCGCAGCAGCAGGGGGACCAGAAGCGAGTGACCACCCTGGTGAGGTGGGCCAGTCAGTGGTGGGCAGAATGTCGGGGCGGGGGAGGGACCACCAAGGGCCAGCCTGACCGTGAGCAGGCCCGGGAGGACGGACGGGGGCCACGGGCAGCAGCTGTGGCCACCGTGATGTCAGCGCAGACACCGTTTGGCCAGGATGAGGGAGAGGGGACCCCAGGCCGGGAACAGTGTGTTTGTCCTTGTGCCTCAGGCCCTTTTCCGGCCGGGTGCCGGTCAGAGTATCGGAACGCCACTCTGATAAGTGGGCTGTGGACTCCCACGCCCCCACGACAGCGGGGAGCGCGGGCCGGGCCCCACGGAGAAGCTGCACTCGTGGTCGCGGGCTCCATCCGCCTCCGCCCCCCCCCAGCACCGTTCCCGGCTCCTGTCCCCGAGTGTCCTCCCGGAACCGCAGCCCGGCCTCCCCCCGCCCGGCCCTCGCCCACGCACCGCACCGCGCGACGTGACGTGCAGGACGCTGCCGGGGCCACCCAGCACGGCCTCGGGGAAGGAAGGAGGGACTCCAGCTGGCAGGAATGTCGGGGGGGCGCAGTGCCAGCTGCTCCAGCCACGCGGGGTGGGAGCGCGTGGCGGCGAGGGGACCGACCACCGAGGAGCCGGGACCGAGAAGCCCAGCGGGAAGGAAGCGCCTGCAGGTGGTTTAAGGGGGGACGAGCGCGGACGGGCTGCCCCTCGAGGAGAGGGCCGCGCGGCCGAGAGGCCCAGCGCCAGGCTTTCGGGGCTCCGGTGCTGGGGGTCCGGCCCCGCGCGGCAGGCGGGCACCCAGGGAGACCGAGCGAGCGGGGCTGGGAGGCGGCGGCGGCAGCAGAGCAGCTGCATGGGCCCTTCTCCCCTGCGCCAAGGCGCCGTGTCCGCACGGGCGGTGACGCTGCCCTCACTGCAGCACCGGCCCAGGGGCCCCTCGGACTTTGCCCGTCCCCGGGGGTGTCGCAGGGGAGGTCCAGGCGTGCGCTGGACCGGAAACCCACCTCCCCGGGCCTCGCGCAGTGACTCTGACTGCGCGCGGCGGAGAATTGGAAACCACCCTATGCCTTCCTGAAGGGCCAAGTGTGTGACCGTCAAGTATGTTCGGGCGATACGTTCGCCAGAACACTGGCCGGTTAGATGTCCTGCTGGGTGCAGACCACGCAGCGCCGAGCACTCACGAGGAGGCAGCCGGATGTGCCGCTGTGGAGCAGCGAGCCCCGGGGCAGACCCCGAGGAGGCAGCAAGCAGCAGCCCGGCGGGGGCAGGCAGTCTCCGGCGTCGCCGTGAAGGCGGGGCGCACACCGTGCTCCCCGTGCAGAGAGAACGGTTTCCGCACGGGCAGCGGTTGCCCCCGGGGACGGGGCGGCGGGGGGCAGCCTTACCTCTCACCTCACACGTTTCAGTGTGATTGGGTTTTATAAACGTGCACGAACTGCCCTTTACATGTTTTTAAAATGCTACACGTGGTCTCTGCACAGTTGAGACTGGGCTAGTATCTATTTTTCTTTATTTTAAGTAAAGAAAGAGACAGACGGCCATTAGCCCACCCAGGGCTGGGCCCCGGGAAGTAGCTAGGTACCGAGACTAGAGGGGAGGTCAGTTCCCCAGCGATGTTCGAGGGGCGTGAAGATGAAGAGGAAAAATCACACCACCACCCAGCACAGTCTCTGTCCCGAAGGAACCGCGGTCCAGCGGGAAAGACACACTCACAGATGGTCCAAAGGCCACGGCAGACCCGGCGGTCCCCGAGGGACAGGGCTCAGCGGGCCTGACCGCACCCTCCTGGGGGCGGCCGGCCTGCGTCTGGATTTCTCACCGACTCTTGCAGTGTGGCGCTTTCTAACGGGCCGTGACCCGTGCGGTGGGTCACGAAAGCCATCTGGCAATTGCCACCGTTATTTTTTAAAACGCACAGCCCATCTTAGTGCGGTTTTAAACTTTGATAACTTCAGAGGCACAGATGCTGCAAACACACCAAAAAATGGCATACGGAAGGTTATTTATGTTTTCAGTATACTGATGTCTCTTACTCAGATTCACGCGAGACCACCAGCCGGTGCTGCCCACTGCTTTGGTTGGCTTTCGGACTCCGAAATCACAGTCACGGGCTGGAGCTGGTCAGCGGCCGAAGAGACTGCCTTTGTGGTTTCTGCCTCACGGGGCCTGGAGGCACGTGTGACGGTGTGGGCATGGCGACCTCCGGGAGGGCGCCCGGATGCCCCCGGCACCCCTGGGCGAGGCTTCCCTCCCCGCCACCCGGCCGGATTCCGGCACACACAGAGAACCGAAATGAAAAACCGGGCTTTCAAATGCCAGGAAACTAAGTATAAAAGGCATTAAGATAAGTAAATATTCAACGGATGTGTTGTGTAGGTTTGTAGCATTTACACTTCTTGAGTCATTAAAACCGCACCGAGACTTTGAGGGCACCCCTGTCCCGGAGTTACATTCAAGATACATAGTGTGGTGTGCACGGTAGGGTAGATAGTGCGTTACAGATCCTGGTGCAGGTGTCACTTTAGGTAACACACTAACGTGCGACCTCGTGAGGTGCACAGCACGCTGCACGGGGGGCGAGGACTGTCCGCACAGAGGCCCCGCCTTGCAGACCGTGCCTGTTGGAGCCTGTGGCCCCAGTGGGGAGTGCCAGCTGGGTCCCTCAGAGACCAAGAGGGGAGGGGTGGCAGGGGACAGGCAGGTGGCTGCAGGGCACACAGGGACTCCGAGGGAGGCTTTCGGGAGCCACTGAGAGCCCAGCACACACCCTGCAGGCAGCGCGTTGCCATGTATGGCCGCCCTGGCTGCCCCAGCGCTGACCGCAGACTGAAGCAGAGAGAGGGGAGGCCGGAGGGGGACGGAGAGAGATGCAGATACCGGTCTGCCTGCCTGCCCGCCCGCTGAGGAGCTGGCTCTGCCCTGGGGCCCTGCAAACAGGACTGCAGGGACCCTGGGACCAGCCCCCTGAGCTGTCGCCTCTGTGACCCCCCCGCCCCCCGTGGTTAATCTGGGGTGATTTTAGAGGCACACACCTCCACCGGGCAGGCGGGGCGGGAGGCCGGACCAACTCCCGTGGGAATGCCTGCCCGCCTGCCCCCCCTCCCCTGGCGCAGGCCGGGGCAGAGATCACAGGGAGCTTTGGAGGGTCTGCACGCAGTACCCGCACTGCCCGGCAGCCCGGGAGGGGTCCAACCCCTGTCTCTTGAGGGTCCCAGATGGGCCCCGAGACCAGCGAGGGGCAGGGGTCCCAGCCCCCACGGCTGACCGGCCTGACCGTGCCCCCTCCTTCCAGAAGGGTCCCATCAGGCGACCGGGGCGTTCACCTCGCGCACTCGGAGGGGAGCGTCGGCTGGGCACAGGGCTGGCAGAGAGGGTGCTGGCGGAGGTCACGGCAGGCCCCTGCACACAGACCGTCTCGCCAGCTCGGCCGCCACAGGCTCCAAAGGACGGCCCCAGGCTGAGGACGCCCCGGCCGGCCCCCTGAATCCACATTGGCGGCCGGAAAGCACGTCCCTGGTGACGAGGGACCCGACGTCCCCTTGCCCCAGGCTGGCTCCCTCGCCTTGGCAGCTCTTCTGCGGCCACAGCTTCCTGGACACTTGGCCGCAGCCCAGGAAGGCGGGCCGAAGCCCGACGTTTCCTCTCCGTTCCCGCCGCCCCGCTCCCCCGCCCTCGGGAGGTCCCCGGGAGGCGCCCGCTCACTCACACCCCGGCCACCGGCCACCGGCCGCCGGCACTCAGGGCCTCCACACGGCCCTGGGTCCCGCGCCCACTCTCCTCCAGGCCACCTCCTCAGGGGACCCCCTGAAGGTGCCAACTTTCGGAGGCTTTTCCTGCTCGAGACCTCCCAGTGATGGCGGCCACGTCCAGTGCCCATACTCCCAGCCTTCCAAGTCCCCCCCGCTTCCAGACTCGGTGACGGCCGTCCGTCTCTGCTGGTGGCTGGGTGTGCGTGGGGTGGGAAGGCAGGCGGCACCTTGGGCAGTCCTGGGGACCAGGGCCTCCCTCCGCACGGCTTCTGTCCTTCCCGTTCACCTGCGGGCCCCCACCTGCCCGCACCTGGGCGGGGCCTCCGAGGTCACAGAGTCTTTCAGTCCCGTGGGACGAACGGGTTTTGACGCCATTCCCACCAAGAGGGTCAGAGGGCATCAGAGGCTCCGTGCACAGCCCACGGCAGTGGTCCGCCCTCCCCCTGACCCTTATCAGTGCACGTTCTGGGCCAAACGTTGGATAAGCCCGTTCCCGGGGTCCTTGCGCCGGGCTTCCCTTGGGCTGTCCCATCCCACTGGGCATCCGTCCGCGCCCCCGCCGCCCCGGCCACCCCAGAGCAGGCGCTCTGTTGGGGACAGTGCCCCTCAGGGGAGGGCGAGGGGTCTCCTGCAGATCAGAACCCCCCGCCCCGATTCCTCGGTCCTCAAAGGAGTGTGGGCGGCCCCAGGCTGTTCCGGAAATGCTCCGGACACCCGGCCGTGGCCGTTCCCTGGAAGGAGGCCTGAGGGTGGGAGCGCCGGCCTCGCCCCCCCCCCCCCCCGCTGCAGCACTGTGGGGGAGAGCAGGGGTACCAGACGGAGTCCGTCTGAAAGGGGCTGAGCGCCACATTCTAGCTCTAACTCTCCAGAGCTGGGCAGCTTTTTCTCCCCCCCAAGAGATGGTCTTTAAAAATTCATTACTTCTCTCTGGGTAGAAAATTCCGACTGACAGCTAAGTGTTCTCTCTGGAAGAAAGAACAAAGCTCAGCCACTAGGAAAGCCCCCGGCCTCCCTCCCCCACGGAAACGGGTTACACTCTGAGCTTAAACAGCTTCACAAAAGACACCCCCCCCCACACCGCACTACCGAGCACTGACCTCTGTCCACAGCCCCCGCGGCACCTTATGTTCATGATGCACGCCATCGGAGGCACTGGGGCCGCATGGTGACTGTCCCGTGTGCTGTTTGTCCCCTCACTTATTTCTACCAGCCTGCTGATGAACCCACCGTCCTAACTAGTGGGCCTGTGGGCCATCTCCAGTCTTCCTCCTGGAGAACCTCAAGGCCTGCTACAGGCCGAGTGTCTGTGTCCCCCAGGGTTCACTCCTGTGCACCCCAGAGTGGCGGTGTGTGGGTGTGTAGAGGGGGCCCTCGGGAGGACGTTAGGGTTCAGCGAGTCAGGAGGGCGGCCCCCGTGAGGGGTCAGGACCCTTAGAGAAGGGAGGCAGCTGTCCGGGAGCCAGGAAGAGAGCCCCCACCAGGGGCCGGGTCTGCCCGCGCTTTGACTCCGAACTCCTGGCGCCCAGAACTGGGAAAGACACGCCTGCGGTTTCAGCTGCCCAGCCCGGGACATGTTGTCAGGGCAGCCCGAGCCACCTCAGACAAGACCCCGCAGCGGCGCGAGCGGCGGCGGTGCCAACTGGGCCTCCACGCCCTGGCTTCCGCTCCATCAGGAGCGCACCGAGTGGGGCCCCATGCTGGGGCACCAAGGTCAGGGCTGACGGCGGGCAGGGAGGCTGCTGCTTCTTGCTCATTCTGGGAAGGCTAGGGGCTCTGCACCTTGGCAAAGGCCAGCCAGGGCCCGCCGCACGGCAGGGCCAAGGAGGCTGTGCGCCCGAGCGGACGGACGGCCGTGGGGCGTCCAAACACCAAGCCCTTCCCTGGGAGACCCCCCCACTGGTTTCCTTCTGTCCAACTCGGTGCTGTGAGAACCCCAAGCCTGCAGGGACGGTGGGAGGCACGGACGACACCATGAACACTCACACCCGTCGCCCAGCCACCCAGCGTCACCGGTCGTGAACACGTCCCCGTCCCTGTGTGCTCTCCACACACCCCCACACTCGTGTGCGACTGTGGGGACCGGGGCCTGCCACTCCCGACTCTTCCCGAGAGCAAGGACATTCTTCTGTGCAACCGCAGCTCCAGAGACCGGCACTGACACAATAACATGATCT